GTAGCAGAAGTTTGTCATAATTTGGTTTATTTAAAATCCAGCAAATTTTTAAAATAATTGAAATTGCAAATCCAAAAAATAAATATTTGAGTCCCACCTTGCAAGTTGTCAGCCGGAATCATGATTTATATTCCTTCGCCAATTCCTCATTTAAGCCACGAGTGCTGGCACTTTTAAAAAGCAACAGAGTTTTCCACGTGTCTTTTCATTCGCATGAGTCTTGACGTGCGAGATATCAAATTGAAAAGGAAGGCGAGAAGAAGAAAAGCGGCGGCGGGTCAAGATTTGCATAAACGCGCGCGGCGGGCCGAGCTGACTTGCAAATCAATTCTGTTGGAGAGGAAGTCCGTCTCAAGAGTGCTCAAAGAATTAGGCAAATGAATGAGAAGGATCTCATCGCGCTCGTCATCCTGCATCGCCTTTTTATCGCGAAGGAAAGAAGAAGATGCGGACTTTTTAAATGTGCGCGCAAAGGAGCGGAAGTTTGCACGTGTTTTTCTCAAAGCATCAGTTGCATCACGACCGTGTACTTTTGCATTTCCACTCGTCATTTACACCAAAGGTTCGGATGTGTGACACCCCAGACGGCAAATTAATCTTATCGCCCCCGACTCGCTTTCAATGAGTCCCATTCAGCACTCGCGCAACAGAAAAAGGAGAGATGCGAGTCTGCTTCTCGTCCGCGACATACACGTTATAGAATCAAATTCAATGCCCGGAAATTGTTATTATTTTACTTGAAGTAAGCAAGTACTTTCATTTCAGAGGAGGAAGCGAGTTTTTCTTTATTTAACGAGGCAATATGAATTTTTTTTATAAATAATATGCTTCCATTATATAACGTTGAAGTGTATGAAAAGTAGAATGTTACATAAAAATATCGATTTACTTTTCTTAAAATATTATGTAAATAAAGTTTAATAAAAGCATTAAATATAATATTAGCGTTAGTTTTTTTTTTTAATAACTATGTATAATAATCTAATTGTACTTTTGCATATAGTGTGCTTATTAAATTATATATTTTTTATTCTTTAGTGTAAAATGAAAAAAAAAATATGAAAACGTTTTATTAAAATTTATTATGCAAATTTAATTTGAATTATTGATAAAATTATTTTCACAAATGAAATTCCACAATTAAATTATGTTGAAATCAGTAAACAACAAAAGTAAACAAATTTGTTTACTTGTGAATGCAAAAGTCAGCCAACGCTCTTTGCTGAAAGAATCAAAATAATTTTCTACCTGTGTGGCACTTTGTAAAATATGCGATTGAAAATAATTATTCTGTCTTGCAAGAGGAAAGAAAATAATTTCTCTACGCAGCGCTACGCAGCAAATAATTTTCCTGAGACTGCGAGAAATGTGCAGCGGAATGCTTTGAATGCTCGCCTGCATAATTGTGTCACCCTTGCCGACTCACAGTTTGATCCGAACTATTTTATTATTACATAACGTGGAAATTTATGGATTAAGAAATAAAAATAAAAACCACTTTTTCCATTAACCACAATTTCCTTCCATTAATTTTAAAAATTAAACCGTTGAATTTAATACAAATTCAAAATAGAAGATTTTTAAATTAATAATTGATAAAACTTCTATTTTTATTATTATTGTACGGTTGAATAGGAAAAGAGGATATTTATCACTATTGGGGTAAGTCCGTGAAGCTTGTCAATCAAGTTTATATTAATGAAATAAAGCTCCACGAACGGCGAAAGGCCCTACCCGTTGATACGCCAGACGTCCTAAAGATGGCCTGAATGTAACAACATCACTTCGTTGCACAGAGTTGTATGTGCTTCGTTGTAAATACTTAATATTACTAAAATGAAATAATTTTACTAGAAATTTTTTAGCTGAAAATTGCAAAACACGAAAAAGTTTTTCAATTAAAAAATTTAAATTTAAATTATAACAAATTCGTAGCATTCTATATTTTTTTTTAAATCTGGTTATTAAATATTTTTTACTAATAATATTTTAATATATTCTTATGAATTGGTCTTAATTACATTAAATTAAATTCTAAGCCACATATACAAAATAAAATTCTTTTCCGGGAGTGCCTGCGATGCGATACAATATGCAACCTGCAACGTCGATATGAAGAGAGAGTTGCATCTCTTAAGAGAATTTCTTCTCAATTGCGGAAAGTAAAAATGAAAATGTCTCTATCAAGTTAAAAGCATTAAAATGTTTTAAATTTTGTCATTAGCACATTTGTCAAATATTATGATGCACAAACTTTCCTTTTATGTGAGGATTTTGAAAACCTCCTAGCTTAAAATTCTAGCTTGTTTATCCAGAAGTCAAAGACACTAAATACGAGCGAAGTAATTAACATAGGCGGGCATCTAATGGCTGTGCAAACACCCGTCCGAAAATTTTAATGCGATGACCCCTCAACATACCGCTGACTGCTGAGGATCGAAAGGAAAGCATCCGAAATAGCTTTCTTCGCAAACAGTGCAACAATTAATGTCACGGCTATTGTTAGAGATTCGAATGGTCCGCCTGAGAGCGCGTAGCTTTTCCACCGTGCCACTTTTTCTTCCTCAGCACAAGTGGAAACAGATTGTCCAAATTCTGCTTGTAATCGCGGGTCGTCGTCCTATCATAGGGAAAGCAAGCTAGGCGCAGATGGTTGTTGCATTTCACATTGTGTTAATTATTCCGCTTGACCTGCAAATGAAAACGAGCGACTCCTCTGTCACTGCGCGAATGTTAATGGGCCCGTCCAATAAAAATCGTCCGTTCAAATCGGGGAAGAATAATGAAAGTGCAAGTATATAGTAGTGCCTGAAATTTATCGAACGTGATGGAATCTCGAATGTAAACTTCAACTTGAATTTCGGCATAAATGTGCAGGGGGAAATTTCACTTTTCTCTTTGGGCACCTTTTTAATTTAATCAAATTTTTGCTGCTTGAAAAAAAATGAGAATGTGGGCGGATTTTTATAGTGAAGAGTCATGAAGAACTTTCTGGCAGCAAAATTTTCAGGCGAGAGAGCAGCATACTCGCTTTCATTTGTGCGTGGGAGGAATGCCATGACTTGCAAACACAAAAAATGCACAATAAAATGTTCTGGATTCACTAACTCATGAGACAATTTGCATTAAGCTTCTAAATTTTTTATAGCTTGAATGTAACTTTGCATAGGCAAATTTACAATTTACAATTTAAAAATTAAATAATTATGTATCAACCATTGTCTTGGTATGATGGTATGAGGTTTTTAACATGTGGATTTTTTTAACATTTTTTAACTTTGTCATATTGATTCAAAATTGGTAAAATTAATCACGATTTTGTATAAAGTACATTACTTTTGCTCTCAGATTGCTCCTATATTTGATAATTATTGGTACATATACCCGCAAATTATAAGGAATAATTAGTTTAATTTTAATTAAATTCAGTGGTGTTACTGTCATCAATCTTAAAACAAATATAAAATTAAAGTGATCTTAATTTTATGACTAAAATAATGGCTTTCAGTTATATTATAGACTTTTTAAAAATTTCTTTCTCAAAATAACTTTGAAATGAAATTTAAACCTTTATGGTGGCTTTTTATAAAAAAAATTTGACTTTCATCAGTCTGGAGATATGTATTTAATGCATTTTGACCAAGTAAATAAATAATTCAGCAGTTAATATCACAGAAGCTCACCAATAATACACATTTTTAATCAAATCTATCTGAGAATTAAAAACGCGCGTGTTGATTATTATTTTTTTTTAATTAATGCAATCGGCATAAATTAAAACTTCATGATGCATACAGAGCAAGATTTTAAATAGCAAGCGCAACAAAGTTAAAAAATTGTATTTATGAAAGAAAAATAATGTTAAACATTTTAAGTAGTTTAAATATTTGCTTACTAATTGTTAAATAAATTTTTTTCAGTAATGCTATTGAAAATTAAGGATTTCAGGTCATTTTTTTTAAATGCGTTCTGGAGCATAAACACGCAGGCGACCGAGTAGTTCGATGCGTGAGAGTTTCTGGTCTCGCCGCAGCATTCAAGCGAGAAAAGTGATATGAAATAATACACACATACACATAATCACACGTCTCCTATGAACGTGCTAGTCTGATCCTTGTCCTTTTCAACAGAGAGATTATTGTTTCGAACTCGAGTTCATTTGCGGTCGGCGGGAAACTCTTTTAGTGCAAACCTATAGTCGCGCGCAGGTGGGCAATTTACCACGCGCGATGCGCTTTCCCGTGACTGACAATGGGCACTTCTTCTCATTTGAATACAATAATAATAATCACATCAAATTTGAAGAACACGCCTTCGGCTGTTCCGTTGTTGTTATATGGGCTACACAAAACACAAATCCACTTAACTCGTCAGCAGTGACACATATTTGTTTCCAACAAAAGCCACGTCAAGATTTTTAATTTCAAATTTGACTTGCTCCCGAGTGCAGTTCAATGCTCCTCAGCAATGAAATAAACATCTCATTTTTATACATAGTAAATGGAAAATTTCCTTTGCCTTCTTTGCAACGAGAAAGTGTTCCGTTTTTAAATTTCCAAGAGAACCAGTTTTGCTTTGACCATAAATCTACATTACAAACACACTTGCATGTATTACTAATGTTGAAGTGCATTAAACCTCCTTAACCACACTCGAATGCCCAGGAGAAGAGGTCTCAAGTTTTCTTAATTTTCTAAAAGGTGTCACATTCAACTTTTCTCAAAAACTTTTACAGCCAAGAAGCAGAAAATCGCACCAATAAAGCTCCACTCCATTTTGATAATTTGTCCGCAATTATCCTATTATAGCTGTCCACCAGGAAAAATACCTATCCTGGTTAAAAATTTTAATTTGCGTGTTAGTAGAAAACTTTTAATTATTTTACGACTGCCAAAAAGTAAGTAAAAAATGATTTTGTTTTTAAATAGAGCCTTTCACAGGCTTTCCTGCAAGATGCAGTGGCAAAAAGCAAGACGCAAGAGGGTTCTTTTTGTCTCGAAGGAGAAAGCAGCGGCGGCGGTTTGAATGCACTACTCTCGCAGCGGCCAATCTGTCTTGTGCCTCCGTCCGAATAACAACGGAAATTATATTTCTTTTCCGTTCTCCACTGCTCGCTGCATCCTCTCAAGGTAGGTCAACTTGCATGCAATTAACGTGCAGCACAGATTTAAACTTTAAACACAGAGCGAGCTTTCTGGAATTTCCTAATTTGCGTTTTTACTGCGAATAAAACTGAACCTTGTGATTTTTTCACTAATTCGGACAATGGTGTGGGTGGGCCTTTCCTGAATTATTTGTCCCACTATAATTTATGCTTAGCAGCCGTAAAAATAAAATTGCATTTTTAAAATGTACTTATATGCAAAGCTAAAAATATTTTGAATAATAAAATGTTTGTGCTGAGACAGGCTATTTTTTAATTAAAATATGAACTTTGTGTAAACCTTTTTGCACGCAAATCCGTTAAGGAATTAAAGAAAGGTCGCTTTGAAAAATATCGCATCATTTTTCTTTCGCTTTCGCTCTTAATTATCAGTGTAGAGACATAAAAAATGCTGTTGATGCTGCACTCTCACAACGCAAGTCATTTCTCGAGCAATTTTTTCGCAGTTAATGGCAGTTTAATGACGAGATGCGTTCAGGAGCTACATAATGCGAATGTGCATCAACATTATTTCAATCTAGAGCACCGCGCTTTGGAAATACCCGAGCTCTTATTCTTGAATGCTGAAATATAATTTTAAATTCCTCTAACAGAACTGGAGACCTGGTTGATTTTCAAATCATTATAGGATGCGTGGAAGCACTAGATTTTTCTCCTTGTCCGGTTTTACGACAATGATCAAAGTTTGTTGTACTTACGCTTTTGTGTGAGTTTCCAAAAGTACTGGTAATGAGACACTCCTGACAGTCCTGACATATAGTGACTTTCATGGAACACAGCTGAACTTCGACTCATAGCATGTGTTTTAAAGTTTTATTGATGATGATGATTGATGACGACTTTTGCCGATCGCCACAAAAGCAAAGGGTTGATTTTACTTCGATTGATTTTGCGCGAAATGTTTGTTTATAGTGTTCAAATACTTCACCAAAATGAGTTTTAAGCACATTTTTTTTGCGAATTAATAAGTAGAAAACCTGTGACCGGAGCCCATCATCAGATTTTTATTTCATATTTCATTAGAAGTGTTAAAAAATCCACGTCGAATAATTCTATGATTAAAAATAATTTTTGTATTAACCAGTATTAACGCATCTAAAAAAATTTATAAGCTGTATTCAGCTTTCAGAAAGCTTAAAACAACATTTTACTCAAGGGAAGAGTAAAAAGTACAGATATAAAATTCTAACGTAAACCAGAGAAAAAAGGAAAGGAGAAAATGCCGTTTTAATTATTGATCAATTATGCTCCTCCAGGCATCTGTCTAGTCTACTGGTCAGGCAGTGAACACTAAACACCAATCCACACTACGTGCAATTATGATAATGAGCAATGCACTGCTCTTATTGTGCATGAATCTCTGCATCTCTTTTTGAAAGTAGAAAGCACAAGAGTTGAAGATTCCCAATTGACGTCACATTCAGTTTTTATGAAAAAAAATTAATTTGCCACTATGACCCGCTAATTGCATTTCGTCTGAACTTTCTTCCTATCATCCGTCGATCAAGTACTTTGCGACGGACATATTAAATATAGGCATTTAGCTGTGAGCCGTTTAGTATGTGTTTCGAGTAAGTTGCTTTTTGTCTCTCATGGATCAGTAGCTGCGAACATTATTTCTCTCTCTTCTTTCTTGACTCAACACCTGCGTCGGTGTGTTCAATTTGATATCAGATGCTGCATTGAAAAAAAATCAAGACGATGCTCGGTGAGACGTGCGAGGAGAAAACACATAAATCGCGTCCTTTCTATTCCACAGTTAAATAGAACAAAGTATTATTCTTCTCGGCAATCAGCAGATGAAATGGAAAGATTGGCTTTAAATAGGCCACAAGGCGCATCATCAACTCGGCATGCTGATCTAGTTGATAAAAGAATAAGCGTCAGTAATTACATAATGAATACAAATAAAATCGCATATTTTTATATTTTAAACGAGCAATATTTTTAGGATTTATAAAATATAACAGTGCATAAGTAATTTTTTTTGCATTTAATTCAGTCTTCAATGAGGATCAGAAACCATAAAAGTGTATAATACCGTGATAAAAACCTTTGATTTACCAAAACTTCCAGACGCCGAAAACGAATAAATACATAGTAAAATTTAAAAATTAATTATAATAAAACCACACTATGGCATTATTTATTATTTTCATATGCTGAATTTACTGTAAATAATTGAATAAAACGATATTAAATAATATAAATGTCTTTATTCGTTTAACTAAGTATTTATTATATAATTAAAAATAATTTAATAGCGTAGTAAAAATGATTTTAATCTAAAGTTTGAATATTTTTTTATTATTTATGTCTTAATAATAATAAAATACAAAATGCCTACAATAATAATGCAACTAAATATAACAATTTTGATAAATTTCCTCACAAAGATTTATCATTAATGCGTTTTGCATTCCACTTTATATTTGTGGTGAATGTCAAAACTCTATGCGGATCTCCTGCTGATTGATAGATGATGATCCTTTTTAGGTAGGCGAAATAGAGAGTCGTGAATCGCAACGTGAGTTGCACTTTTTTTTTCTTACTATTCATTTTACAAGCACATTGATTAGTTTTTCACTGGGGTTTAAGAAGAAATTTGTTTTCGCATACAGATTCCTATGACGCCGGGATTAGAGCACTCGATTTCTAATCAGCTAAAACACTCTCGACTGCCAAACATGGAAGCTGATGCGAAAAAAAGATATATTGTGAGCGGCAAACAATGATTCGTTTGCTCAGATCACTTTCTCAAAGTTTGCTGAGCAATATTAACTTAGCATACAAATATATTATATATTTTTTGTTTCAAAATTTCCACACCTCACCGCAGAATGATGGAATTGAAGTCAATTAATTGTACAGTGCGCTTTCCATCTGCTGAAACAATCAATTATGGGTAGTTTTTAAAGGAAACCTCACTCTTGTTACTTTTTACTTTTGTCACTCGAGGCGTCTAAAATTGCAATTTAAAAATATGGGGCAGTGACGAACTCATAAGGTCACGCCCAGAGTGGATTTTCAAGTTGCAAGAAATGAAAAAATAAAATAACAGGCTAAATTGAAAGCAATGGAAGGTCGTGTGGTTGGGTTGTGAGAAAATTTCGTCTTCGCATCAGAGCTACAAACAATCTGCATACAGCTTTTTAAGGAACATTTTGGCTCAGGAAGCGTTCATGAACTTTTGTTGCGTAAAGTGGAAGGTTAACATTTTCTCTTAAAAAGTTGTCGACAGGATGCAGCCGTGAGAATCTTTGGTGTTACATAAGAGATGGAGATGAAGATCTCTTTAATTTCCTTTGAAGTTGCAGAAACCTGCATCCAAACTGAAATTAGAAAATTAATTTAACTGATCACGTGGTCGTAACTATGCTTTTATTAAATTCCAACTGACTGGTTAAACTTTGGGCCAATTTTAATTTGAAATTTAATTACTTTACACATTTTCACACAGTCTTTGACCTCAATTTTCAAGAAATTGTACTGCTATACAGCTGAAACAGTTTCATTATATCAAAGTGGCTTAAACCTTGAGTGACGTATATATTATGTATAAATTTTGATGAACCAACGTATTATTTCACTATGTTTTTTGCGTTTTAATACGTTGATATTACTAATGGTTTTATTGCAAGCCTCTTGTAACCTTTTTTTAACGATTTTCCTTATTATATATAATTTGTGACTTTTCTTGTTTACTCATTTGGCTATTTCCTTTTCAGCTACATGAAAAATCGTGGATATTTTATTGAAAATAAAATAATTTCAAATTGAAAGGATTGCATGAGAAACTTTTAAAATTTCAATTTCAGTGAAATAATTCACATAATTAGAATTTATATTAATTTTCTAACCACGCAAAATAGTTTAACTAATTTCACGGTATAATTTAACACGTTGCCAATTTCTTGTTCGATATGCTAGAAAATATTAACCTTCACTTGACACGCCTTTGGAAAATGCACAATTATGTAATAATATGCTTAACTCTGCTTCCTGCAAACACATTGATTATCTACCTATTAAAAGTCAATGATTAATGTTTATACTGCAAACTTCATTTCTCATTTCCGATGTTATAACTGGCTGGAATTGATCAAAACACAAAAAGATGCGTTGATTGATGTAAATTCACCTCCGCAGCTTCTCGTCCCTCTTTTATCCTTTTTATCTGCTCGCAGCGACGAAAACCTGTTTGGCAAAACCATTTTGCAAAAATCCACTCTCCGGAGATAAAACGCACCTTTCTTATAAAACAAAAAACTATGATTATGCTTCGACCCTGACCAAGCGTCAAGGTCGAGAACGACCTGATCGGCAGGGTGGGGGTCTGCGCGCCTCACATGCAGTTTTTTGGTCTCACGATTGAACGCACGCCTGTTTGCTGCAGATGCGAGCGGCGCCGCACTCAGAGCCTCGACCCGACGGCAACAGGATGGAGTCTCAGGGTGCCCGGCTGCTGCTCGACGTGTTCCTCTTCATCGCCACCTCCCTCTACTACATTCTGGAGGCGTGCTTTCTCACCCTGGTGCCGTTCAGGTTTCGCTGCGACCCCGACAGACTCAGGGGGCAGATTGCCCTGGTCACCGGCGGTGCCGGAGGCGTCGGCAGGTACCTGTGCGTCAAACTGGCTCAGAGAGGCACCACGGTGGTCATCTGGGACGTCAATGCTGAGGGTGAGTTTGTTTAAATATGCACTATATACAATTTAATTGATTTCGCGTTAAAATAAAAATTTGTAATTGCTCGCGGTAAATTTTTTTAAAGCTGTCCTGTTTTTGAATTATAAATTGAGTAATAAACTTCTTTATTATTTTGTTAACAATCATTAAAAAATAATCAATATTTCATTTATTATATTAAAATGAATTTTTATAATATATAATATTTTAGTTTATCTAATACTTTAAATTTAAATTTATTTCTTAAATTAGATGTTTTAATTCATTAACTTCAATGAAATGTAATCTATCATATATTTTGATTAGATTGTTGCACGGCATTATAAATTATTTTAACGCAGTAAAAGCGTATAACATGTTACCATATATATTTGTGCCCCACACGCGTGGGTCTAATTTTTATTTCAGAGTAATAATTGATATGATATTAAACAGATAATGAATATATTATTACATGACATATAATATATGTCAATATAACATGTTTAGCTTCTGCAGTTGTGCAGGTGTTATTTGGGATTGAGTAGTTATTATGCACTTTCATATAACATAAAGAAAATTTAAATATTTTTACTGAATTTTTCATATGAAATAATTTCCTATATAATTATCCTATATAATGTAGCTCATGGCAATAATCTTACTATTAAATTCATTTAAATATAATAATAATAATGTGAAATCCATCATACGCTTTCTGAATTGTGCAACAAATCTATTAAACAAAGTAAAGTTTATCGGGATATGTGCTTTGCATATAAATTGTTTTGGGTGGATCCATTGTGCGGTACGACCATAAGGAAATTTCGCAACCAGCTTTTTTGTGTGCCTCGCAACCTGATTACGCAGAAAAGCCCATTGTAATAAAAAAAAATTAAAGAGCTCCACTCGAATCCTTTTCTAACTTATCGTGGACCACTGGTAAAATTTTATTCGGAATTTTTGCTTGGAAAGCAAAGATGAATTTCTCCTGTCAGGAATTTACTTTTTATTCTATAAAAACTTCCTAGTCTTCCTATTTTGTTGCATGATATGATTTATGCGACGTAATGTGGAGCGATAATGTCATATTTAATCGACGATTATTGATGCACGGCAGGTATCAAGGAAACTGTAAAGGCGGTGCAAGCTGCGGGTGGAAAAGCAGTTGGCTACGTTTGCGACCTCTCGAGCCGCGCTTCCATCTACCAGACGGCTGAGCAGGTCAGACGTGAAGTTGGAAAGGTAAAAATTAATTGGCAGTGGTTTAAAACATTCGATTACGTAAATTTTAATTGGCGGATATATCAAGGTTCTCCGGTTTCTTATTATAAAAAAAGAAGAAAAAAATTACTTTTGCTAATTATTGAAAAAAAAAATTCATTTTCCATGAAAAAAATATTCTTCATCCTGGAAGCTCAAAATATTCATGTCAAGAACCTTCTCCTTTCTTCCTTTTTGTAAATTCAAATTCAAACGAGGTTAATTGCTAGTTGAAAATGAGATAAGCCCGCGCCTACATATTCAGCCTTGACGGGCAAAGCTGTTCGTTCGTCTGTGCCCTTCTTACACACCCATTCATTGCTGGCCGCTTTTGGCAGCGTTTTACAAGTTTGGCATGAGAAATGACTTCCATTGAAATTCACGTCTGTGAAATGATAATTTTGAATGTGTTTCAGGTGGACATTGTGGTCAACAATGCTGCCATGATCAACTGCAAATTGATGCTAGACATCGAGGATGACAAAATCGCAAAAACTTTCGATGTCAACATTCTTGCTCACTTTTGGGTAAAATAACTACTTTCTTATTTTAGATTACATTTATTTAATTTAAAAATTATAATTTTACATATTTTTAGTTCATTATGTAATATTTATAATTTAATTTATTAATATTCAATGAACGTTTGTAGAAACATACTCTTGCGTTGAAAGTGAATCTTAAATTAATTAAAAGTTAGCATTTCTTCTTCCCACTCATTATTGGGTAAAAATATAGTGTTTATTTTATTATATGTATCATCTATTTATATACATTACCTTAAAATATTTGAATATATAAATATAATTATTGATTCCTCTAAATGACATGGCATCAAGGAAAAAAAAATTTAAAAAAAAAACATCAGACCACTATAAAATTTTCCATGTGATTAATTTTTTCAGTGGGATATTATGAGTAATACATTCTAATAATTCCTTGAGTGAGCAGAAGCCCTAAACTAATTATAAGCTCAATGATACCGTTGTTTTGTAATTGGTCGTGGGTTTTTCGCATTTCGTGCGTGAACGTTCGCCTAAATAATTTAATTATATAGCCTCGATAGCTTGCTGGGAGCTTTTACTTTTTTCCTCCTAGATTCCATAAAATTTTTTCTTGCAGATGGCTAAGGCGTTTCTTCCCGAAATGATTAGCACGCAAAGAGGACACATTGTAACCGTGGCCAGCATCACAGGCATCCTTGGCACTCACATGTGCTCCGACTATAGTGCCACAAAGTTCGCCGCCTGCGGATTCCACGAAGTGCTCTACACGGAGCTACAGGTGCGCCGATGGAAATTTTTAACAAAAATATTTGCTCAGAGAAAATTATTTGCCCCAAATTCTTCAAAACTATGTTAACAAACACAGCCTGGCTTAAAAATTATTCTTCATTCTATAAGTTGAACAAAAAAACGAAAAAAAAATCCATTATAAATTTAATTTCTGCAAAATATTAAATTGCAAGCAAAGATTTAACAAGACGGATTAAAAATATACTCAATGCTTTAGCTATTTTAAAAATTATTATTATTTAATTTTGCAGCAAAAAAAAAAACATTTTTCAAGCCAAACTAATTTAATCATGTTTCACTTAGGTGGAAAAGAAAACAGGTGTCGATTGCACGTTAGTCTGCCCGTATCACATCAACACACCCATGTTCCAAGGAGTCAAACCCAGGTAAAACATATTTTGTGTCATTAACTTTTTTAAATTAACTTTATGTTTTAACTCACTCAAGAATATTAAAAAAATTAATATTTTTTGTTCAGGTTTAGACCTTGTTTGGAGCCAGATTACGTGGCTGAGCAGATCGTGCTTGCCATTCTCAAGAAAGAGAACTTTGTCATCTTGCCAAATATGCTCAGATGGTTCTTCCCAGTCAAATTGTGAGTTCTTAATGATGCGCAAGAAAAATAAATAAAAATCCTTGTTTCAGTTTCCTGCCGGCAAAAATGTGCTGGTCGTTAATGTACAATGTGCTGCAAACGCCGCAGTCGATGATGAAATTCAAAGGAAATGAGGAAAAGGTGGAATAAAGAGCATTTTTTAAGCAATTGTATTTTTAAGTTATTAACTATTACTGAACTGTACATTATGGTATTGCCAAAAATAAAACTGTTTAAAATCTTATTATTTTTATTAAGTGTTTTACTCTGTACCTTGCTTAAATATTATTAGATCTGTGGAAATTTTAATTTTGTTCTTACATGTAAGATATCTTTCTCGCCCTTTCTTTCATGGAATTAAAAAATATCATTTGCGCTACATAATTTATTGAGTGACTGCAATTAAATTTACAAAATATAAATGAAGATCAAAGAAAAACGAGTAATTATATCAATTATATATCTTAATTTACTGCAGCATTATGCTTATGCAATTTCGTATGCTAGTTATAATGCATAGATAAAGCAACGGAATTGTACAAACTTAAAAAAATTTCCTTCTAATTTCGATTTAAACTCTTTTGGTCCAATTAAAAGAAAAACGAATAATTGCATGTTATCAAATGGAACGCTCAAGCACACTCTTTTCGCGCCACTTAGTGCCAAATGTTTTTTTTTCATCAATCGACCAATCACAAGCCAGAAGCGAATCAAAACAACACAGAAGAGAGTTCATCCCGTTCGCCATCTCTCTCTCTGCACTTTTTTTTAAGCATACCTGAGACCTGAGATAGAAACTGGAGGTGGCAGTCAGGGTCTGATGGAAGGGAGACGTGCGTGCCTGCCGGTGAAAAGGGATTGACACGAATCCGGCCAAGTCCAATAAATTCTTCTCATCCTGTGGCTTGACTTTCCTCGGCCGAAAATGGAGCTGCCTGCGATTCTGCAGGACTTGCCCCACCTAAAGGTGATCCTGGCCATCATGACCGTGACCACCCTGGTGCTCGGATTATTGGTCAACCTGCTCGAACCCTACTTGCCCGCTTTTGTGATTCAGGCGCTGCGTTATGGAAAGTTCGCCTACAAAGGACCAAAGCAGTCTTGGATCAAACCGATTGAATTTCCCAAAAGGTTCTTTGATTTCTTTCAAATTTTCCATTGAAAATTAAAATTCAGTATGTTTGTATTATGAATGAAGCAAAAAAGGAATAGAATATTTAACCTAACTTATTAAAAAAAATCTGGAAAATTTTGCCGATATACATAATTGTGTTTTTCATCATAATTTACAATTAATTAATGTTATTTTTTCATTACAGTTACTTCAAGCACTTCTACTACTTTGCCGCCTTCTACACTTCATACATCACTTATCTGACCTTTTTTGTCTACTACGGCAATGCTTCAGTTCCCCACTGGTTCATCAAATTCCTCGACTTGCTTGCCTCAAGCAAAAGAGAAGCCACTGGTAAATTTAACTAATACACATGTCAGCCAATAAATATTAATTTTTCTATTATTTTTAGTTTCTTCAGGCCGAGTTTTAGTTGCATTGCTGCTGTTGTCTCTGCAGTGTTGGAGGCGCTTGTACGAAACAACCTGTGTCAGTGTTTTCTCGAGTGGCAAAATCAACCTTGCCCAGTATTTGGCCGGATTTTTCCACTACCTCTTTGCAGCAGCAGCAATTGTAGCCGAGGCGCCTGTTTTTGCCAGCAAAGGAAAACGAGGTCAGTAAAAGAATTAATTAAATGATTTTGAATTATGAAATTCATAATTTAATCTGTCAATAGTTTCCGAGGATGACGGCTTGAGTGCAATTTCGATTGCAGCTGTTGGAATTTTCCTGTGGGCGTTCATTCACCAATATAGGACTGCAGTTATTTTGGCCGATTTGAGGAAAGATGGAAAAGGTGTGAACAGTGAGAATTCAAATATGCAGTGCAGGAGTCTTTTAATATTAAAGAAAATTAATAATAAAAAATAAAAAAATTAATTGCCGTTCCCATTACCCCGCGAACATTATGATGTGTGTCACCTGCTATTTGATATTTGGAAAAGTTAGTCTATCCGCCGTGGAATAGCTCATTGTCGAAAAATTGACCTAAAGATGCTTAATGTTTCTTTTTAGGCAAAGTAGTGACGACCAAACACAGAATTCCTGAGGGAGACTGGTTTGAGGCCGTGTCATCCCCACACTTGCTGGCAGAAATTTTGATGTATTTAACCTTAACCATGCTGCTATGGAATAACACCTGCTGGCTCTTCATTTTGGTCTGGGTCCTTGTTAATCAGGTATTTTCCCTTGGATCTCCTCCAGATTTCAACTTAAATTCTTTTAAAATGTTTCAGATTGAAACGGCCTTACTGAGCCACTGGTGGTACAAAGATACTTTTAAAGATTATCCAAAAGAGAGGAGAGCACTTATTCCGTGGATATTTTAGTTCCTTTCAATTCCTATATATTGGTGTCACAAAGACTGATGAGTTCATCAATGCTTGAATAATTTTGCGTAATTTTGTATTATATTTTTAATTGTGTTTGCATTTATAAATATTTTATTTTGATATTATTTAAAAATAATTTAATTTCCTGAATTCCTATGTGTGTGATTTAAAATAATTTGATGAAATGCTAATCGCAGCCACGTCTTAATTGAGGGCAATTTAGCTCTCACATTCACTTGGCACCAATCAGCCAATTGCCGTTCTATAAATAGCAGATCGACTTTTTGTGTGAAGTAAACAAGTTACAATTGGATTTAAATAAAAAAAAAATTAAGGATTAAGCAGATATTTTATTCTTCACGGGATATCAAACTTTCAAATAATGGTTTTATAAACAATTATCAAGTATCACAGGAGGTTTTCCTCAAAGTTTAATGGTACTTTAAGTCTTACGTAAGGAAGGTTTTTGGTGACTAGGTCATGCTCTGCAGACAAACTGGTTTTGGACCCTTGGTTCAGGTAATAAAATTAAGGGAATTAAAGTCACACACACACAAAACAGGCACAATTTGTTAATGGTGTTAGTTTGGGGAAATGAAAATCAGTGGAAATAATCGCTCATGATTCTCTCTATTTTGTAAGTGATAATTTTTTCAATTATGGTGTCAACTTCGGCCATGGCGCCTTCTCCTTTGTCACCACACATGAGCTGCTTGGCAACTGGTGGGATTTCTGAGTAGCCCCAGCTGATGAGGGTTTCGACTTGTTTCTTTGTGACTGGGTGGTTCCACATATTTGTGTTCATGGCAGGGGCGAAAATGGCTGGTTTTTTGCCAAGAGGCCACGCTCGAGCAACACATGTAGCTAAATTATCACAAAGACCCTGAAAAATAAATAAATAATAAATTCCATTATGTAAAAAAAATTAAATTCAAATATAAATAATTTACGTTGGCTAATTTCGCCAGAGTATTTGCACTGGCCGGAGCTACAACCATCATGTCGGCCCACTTCATGAGGTCAATGTGTAAGACTGGATCGCCCCTCTTATTCCAGGAGGCCCATTCGTCTTTGTCTCTGAAAACCTTGACGTCCTCTGGCATTTCAGTCTCACACTCTAAGAAATTGGCCGCCGAGTCTGTGGCGACCACACGAACCTAAAAATAATTCAAGCTTTGATGCAAAAAAATTCGGATTAAGAACATTCCTTACAAGAACTTCATGGGCCATGAGCTGCTGACACAAAAGAGGCACCTTCAGGGAGGCGACGCTTCCTGTGCAAAGGACAAGGACGTGGTACTCGAACGACATCCTCTTGCTTGTTTCTCGCACGAACAACCGACGGACAATGAGTCTCAACGAGCCAATGAACTGTGAAAAGAAGGCACGGATGAGTGCAATGAGAAATATAAAAATAGTCCCTTCTTGCGTGCCGTAACATTATAATTGCATCGCGGTGTGGGAAAATTTCTAGGTCGAGAATTTCTTTACCTGGCTGACTCTTTGGATAAAACCTCGACAAAAGCCTTCAATTTTCTTGAAATAGTTTTGCAAAAGTTCTGATCACAAATTGCCGTTCTGTAAAATCAACAAGTTTATACACCCGAATTCTTGAGTGTTAAATTCCCAGACAAAAATAAACACACCGACAAAAAGATCCGAGAGGGTGAATCATATGATTTGGAACTTTGCGCCACTCTGCACCAATCAGCGCTCGAATTTCGTATCACGTGATACCAATAAGTGGGCTGGGCATCTAAACAAAAACAAAAAGCCGCTGCAAAAAGCAGAGGAAAATGAAGAATTGGTATTTTATTTATTTTTTTAATATTTATGCTTTTGATGAAATTTATCAGAATAATTTTAAATTGTCGGATACAAATTTTGAAAAGATTTAAGTGATCAGTTTAATTATGCAATATAAGTCTACCTTCATTACATATATTTTTTCGATCGATCTTAAAAAGGTTTTTAACAGAAGACAAGTTTATCTTATTTATCATCATTGATATTTAATATTTATTTAATGACTTAATAATTAAAATTTTCATTCTGATATATTTAGAAAATTCTCTTTGATGATCAGCAACGTTTAAAATGCCACAGCATCCAGAGGTAGCCAGCTCACTTTTGAGACTCTTCACAGAGCTGTTATCATTTGTGAGTTTTAAGATTTAAAAGTTTTAAAAATTATTTTACTCTTTATTGTTTTATGCAGTTTTATGTTTAATTAATATTTGGATTTTATCACAACAAATTAAAATTTCTAACGTTTTCTGTGCAGTTCAAAGATGTTGGATATCTGGGCACTTATTCACTCACCTTTGCCCACGGCGACAACATTTCCCAAGGGACAGGGTGGTACGATGATGTTTCAAAACAGAAATTCCATAGCATTATGCTGGACATCAAGGTATTTGCATCATTAAATAAAAATACTGAACTAAACTTTTGTATTTAATAGGTTCTCATACAAGACTGGGAGCAAAGTTGTTTGGAAAAGGAAATTCACAAACTTGTGAGCTCAAAAGAAACGTCTCCTGCACCTCCAGAAGACGATTTTCACTTAGACGATGACTTTGAAGAAGAGGAGATTGAGAAAGAGAGCAAGGTGGAGACAACTCTGCTGAAGCAAGCAGTTTTTCCTGAAATCTGCAATAAGTTGGAAGAGTTCGAGGAAAAGCCTTCAAGATTCGAATGCGAGCAGTGCCAAAAGACGTTTACGACTAAAGCTCATTTGCGGAGACACATTCAAGCCCACTCAGGTATTTTAATTAGTTTTAACTGCAATTTAATCAAAAATATTAAATAATATATTAAGTAATTTATTTTCAAAATTATCGATTTTATTATCAGGTCGTCGAATGTTTCAATGTGATTTGTGTAGCAAATGCTACGCAGCCAAACAAGGGTTGATGGCGCACCTGTTGCGAGAGCACAATTTAAGCACTGGAGATTCGCATTCCTGTGGTAAATTATTGAATGGACTAAAATTTGGCAGAATTTTAATTTCACTTAAATCTAGATATCTGTGGAAAATCTTTTGCTTTTCGAGCAGCTCTGACAAAACACAATCTCAGCCACGGAAACAACAAGCATTTCTTCTGCAGCATTTGCCACAAAGGCTTCACACAAAAGGTTCACAGAGACGCTCATTTTGCTCTCCATACTGGTAATATAATATAAAATTAAAAAAATAATAATAATAACTTGCATTATTTCTATCAGGAGCATTGCCATTTACTTGCCCTCACTGCCAAAAGAAATTCGCCCTCATGTCCAAACTGAACAAACACATAGTCATTCACGAAGAGCCCAAATTCGAGTGCAGTATCTGTAATAAAAAATTTGCACGAAACTTCAGCCTCCAACAGCATCTGAAGCTGCATGAAAATAATAAACCGTTCAGTTGCAACACCTGCGGAAAGTCTTTCATCACAAAATATAAATTGGACATCCACCAGCAGGTATATTTAAACTTTAACATTTTCAAACACATATATATAAAAAATAATTATTTAAACAGAACCATATCGTTGGTCTAAAACATATGTGCGACATTTGTGGGTCGCAATTCCGGCAGAGGACAACTTTAGTTTTGCACATTCGGAGGCACACAAAGGAAGGTCTGCACACGTGCAACATTTGCCAGAAAACATATGTGAAGCAGTATGACCTGCAGAGGCACATGCTCAGCCATTCATTTTCAAGAGACTTTTTGTGCGACGCCTGCGGCAAAGACTTCAAGAGCCCTTGGGACCTAAAAGAACATAGACTTAAAGTTCATCTCGGATTTGAAACAGCTAAGAAAAAGAAGACTGGCATGAAGGTAGCTTTTTATCAATCGAAAACCTATGCAAAAAAAATCAAATTTCATTATCTACATTATTTTAATTTTAGCTATACTCATGCAAGTTTTGCCCGAAGCAATTTAAAACAACCAGTAGACTTTCTACTCACAAACGACAACACTTAGAAGAACCAAGATTTTGTTGTCAGACGTGTGGCAAACGATTCCATCGATCGGATGTGTACAAACAGCACCTATTTCTTCATACCGGGACCAGGCCTTATCATTGTGACAAATGTGACAAAACGTTTGCCTCCAGTACAACCTTCAAGGTAAAATTATTAAAAAAAAATTTTAATAATATTTTTTTTTAATTAACACCTGTTTTTAGGCACACATGTTGGTGCACAACACGAATGCAGCTCTACTTGCTTGTGATATTTGCCATAAAACATACCGTCGTCGAAACTCTCTCAACGCTCACATGAAAAAACATTCATCAAATGAAACAGCCAGCTTCAGGTGCCATATCTGCCAAATGCAGTTCGAATCAAAGATTAGTCTTGGCAGCCACCTGAAAGATCATGTTGAGGACAAACCGTTCCCTTGCTTACTATGCAATAAGAGGTACTTTCTTTTAATTATAATTAAAAATTTTACATTTAATTGTTGAATTAATTAAAAATATTCACATGATTGAAATTTTCTGCAGGTACAAAACAAAAAAGCATCTAAAAGAGCACTCGCGGAAAGCACACCAAGACGAGCCAGCAGTCATCACAGCCCCCATGCCTGAAATCCAAGTCGATCTTGGGCTGGAAGCAAATTTCGAGACCGCTGCTTTTGGTCTCAGTCAGCAAAACCAGTTTGTTGGTGCTGAGGAAATGCAGACCTTCAGCCCAATTCAAGATCTGGAAACCCTTCGCATCCTTCAACAATTGACTGAGGGTGAAGCTGCTCCTGCCAGTCCAAACCCGCCTCCCTCAAACGAGCAGAACTTCCTGCTGCAGTGCGTCGAAGAGACAATTTTGGCCGACGCACCAAACTTGCTTGCGGATCTATCAAATTCCCTTGCGACGTTGCCCACTGATGGAAACTTATTGTGAAATTTAAATGATCTCAAGAGTGGGAAAGTTAATGTATTTATTTTTTTTTCTCCTAGACAAAATAATACTTCCTTAAATAAAAAAAACTGATTTCTTGATCATTGTATACAGCAGATAATTGCGGCTTTTATTTTTCACCGTTCATCATTTTGTTTGTATATAATAGCATTTTTACATATCTTATGTATTTCAATTAAATAATCCACACAGTATAATATATAGTATATTTTCACAGGATAAGCAGCAATCAAAATGATGCTGCTGACTTCACAGAGTTCATAAGTTTTCAGATAAATAGAGTCGGAATAGCAACAAGTGTATATTATAGTATATTTTTTCATAATTTGTCAAAAATTAGCAGCAGATCGAACATTCTCTAAAAATTTTTTTGAGAATTCTTGCGCAATACAACATGTAATAAATTGATATGCATGCATGAAAACAGTCCATATATATATATTTTGGATTAATTATGAAATGCCAAAAAATTGAGAAGTTGGATAGCACAGTAAAGTGCCTTAGCCTTAAATTGAATATCATTTTGGAATTTTAATGTGAAGAATTTATTTTCAAGAGCAGCTTAAGTAAAGCTTTTTAGTAGTAGAATAATTATTCTTCATTAGTGTTAGAAAAGGATTAACAAGGAGGTAAGACGAGGCGCAGAATAAGCCGGAAGAGAAACAGGGGAGTTTCAAGAGTAGATCATTTAAATACTATAAACCAGCAGTGGCAGCGCTTCAGCAGTTTCTTAACTTTAATGGAATGTCCTTGAAGTTAGTGTGGAACGTTTTGCTCCATACTTTAAGAATTTCAAATAAATTGATATAAAAGAGGCTTAAATTAAATTCTTTTAATTGAGAATTTTCGATTGATTATGAATTTGCGTAAGGAATTTTTTGAAGCTCTTAAAAATTTCCGAGTTATTTAATATTTATATATACTATTAATTTCGGTTTTTAATATTTTTTAATATATTCTTAAATGCTTCTTTGTACAAAGGGCACATTTTGGTTCTTGTTCAACTATGTATCACCTCAATTTCAGATTTTTTTTCAAGTGCAAGTAGTTGAGAAGGTTATTTAAATTTAAATGCATGTATTAGAGTTTAGTACAAATATTTCAAACAACACTTCATCAATTCACACAAATATACAAATACGTATGAATTTACTTTTAAAGCTCTTCAACTGTCACACCAACAACATAAAATTTGGCCTGATATTTATTCAATTGATTTTCTTTTCAACACAACAAAAGTTGCAGAATACATGAATATTTTGCTTCACAAGTTTGATTCATATTCTAAATAATTATACAATATTTAAGTCTTACCGTTAAAGCAGGGGAAATCATTATCATACAAGTCAGGGTGGAGTCACTTGTTAAGAGGGAATTGTTCAGCACGAAGAACAGCGCGACTTTTCTCCATTCTCGGAGCTCCAGTCATTGAGGTCCTGACCAGGTCGAGGAAGTCCTCGACTCCCTCTGACAAAAGGTGGCTGTTCCAATGAGTGCTGCATGCGCTTCATCACCATGTCCACCAGAAGCTCCACGGCTTTGGCAACGTTTTGACCTGAGGCTGCACTTGTTTCCATATAAACCAATCTGAAAATACAATATTTTGATTATTATAAAAATTTAAAAAAAGCAGCATGTAAAATTTAACTAGAACATTCATGATGAACAATGAACATAAACAGCTTCATATTAATTTCTTTTACGATCAATGACCTTTTTTTATAATAACAAATTTAAGGACTTATATAATACTAATTTTTAAAATTTTAAAAAGCAGGAAAATCTGATAGAAAAAATGAAAGCATTTGCAATTTTTCATCATAGATATCATAATGTGAAATAAAAATGAAAAATTATAACTTTATTATTTTTAATGAATTAATAATGTAGCTCTTATATTTGTACAGTTGCATATATTTTGCAACCAGTCTTGAATTCATGCATAAAAGATGAAACTCGCACTCCCTCTTACCCGTATCTCCTGGCAGTTTCCCGTGCACGCTCCTCGCTGATGACCCTTTCCTCCTCGAGATCAGCCTTGTTGCCGCACAAAATGACATCTGGGTCGTCACAGTAAGCGTGCGTCTGGCACAAATGAACAAAACTGTGTGTAAGCTTTTGACGTGGACAATCTAATGATACAAAAGTGTATGAAAAGAAAACAACTCTCGAGGGCGACGGGCGCTGAGAGTGCAAGTGTGTGCGCAAGTGAAGTGTGTGTATTACGTGAGCAGAAAAAAAGAGTCATGTGTTGGCACAAATGCTTACCTTTAGTTGGTCCAGCCAGTTGCGGATGGAGACAAAGGACTGCTCGTTGGTGATGTCAAACAAGAGCAGAAATCCCATCGAGTCGCGGTAGAAGGCGGTTGTTAAACTGCGAAACCTAATTGGGGGAAAAAAAACTTTTTACTCCGCAGAGATTAGACAGAGGGTGGAAAGAAGATAGATCGTTTGAAGAGTGAAAGCGGAAAAAGGAAAAACGCACTTCAAAGTAAACCCCTGGTAGAGAGCCGAGTTGAATAAACACACAAGGGAAGAAGTGGTCTTCAGAACTCGATTTAGTCTTTACGCATCGCAGCCGGTTTAATTCGTTTTGGGAGCAACTTCTTTAGGCTGGATTGTTGACTTTGAAAATTTTCATCTCCAAAATAGTAACATTTATATGATCAAACTTACAATAATTTCAATGAAAAGGGGCTTGTGGTGTATTATCAAAAATTGTGCATTGAGAAATTTTCCGTTAAAGCCTCAAATGTAAATTTTGATTAATTTTTTCAATATAATTGTAGTGAGATATGAAGTTGGTTAGATGGACTTAGATGAAATTTTCATTGTTTAAGACGGAACTAATCAGAGAAAAATTTCAAAGAATTCCCATGAAAGAATTAAAAAAAATCTCTGCAATGATCATATTTATATTTATCATTAGAACGACAAATACAAGATTTTCATTTACAAAAAAAAAAATCAATCTGTAATCACCCCTTTATTAAAATTTTTTATAGTTATTCCGTTTAAAATTTTTACTTTCAATTGAAAAGATAATGTTAAAAAAAATCAAAATTAAAAATATTTGGGGTGTTTCATAGCAGAAAATAAATCATTTTACCGTTCTTGTCCAGCTGTGTCCCAAAGCTGCAAATGAATGCGTTGACCTCTTTGACTAAGAAACCCATCCTCTGTAGGTGGTCTATAAATCTGCACCAAAAAGTAAATATTAATTCACAAAAAAGATTTCCTCATCACTTTGAAAACTGACCAGCCTTTTCTCCCGAAAGTCGATGCCGACCGTCGAAATAAACTTCTCGTGGAACACGTTATCTGAGTACTGGAAGAGGAAGCTCGTCTTGCCAACGCCGGAGTCGCCGAGGGCCAGGAACTTCAGCAAGTAGTCGTAGTCCATCGCGAGGACTCGGGTGGCCCCTGCGAAGAAAAAATGATAAAATTTTTAGAGGCAATTAATTTTGGCTGTAAAAGAGGGTTTAGTGGCTTTTTGATCTCTCGACGGCGGAAAAGCAATTTTCGCTTCTTTTATTACGGCGACGCACTTTGCCTCCGGCAAGAAAGCGGAGTTAATCTATTCGCAAAGCTTCTTACAGGTGAAAAATAAGCCCAAGTGGAGGGACGGATATTGCGCTGAGGATTCTGCAGCAGCACGACTCATCTACTTTGTGAGCGCGGGGTGACGTCACTTGGTGGTTGTTGTGATGCTCCGTGTGCGAGGGAGGAGGACGACGACGAAAGAGATGCTGATAATAAAAAAGTAGACCGACTACATCGAGGGAGAATACAAATGAAAAAAGGAGAACGCGGCGCCAAATATAACGACAACCCACGCATTCTGTCAATACCAAAAGGGATAGAAAAGGAAAAATGCGCGCAAATTGACGCAGAGCGTTCTGGAAATTGTGTAGGCGGTACTTTATCTTTTTGCAATAAATCAAGGTAGTGGAAATTCCTCATGAGATTAATTGGGAAAACAATGTTAGTTAACTTAATTGAATTAGAAGTTATTAAATCAAAATTTCTTAAAATTGACAGTTTGAATAAAATTAAGCTTTTTTTAAATAATTTTATTTAATTAAAAAACTTTTTATATTTAACTGTTAATTAAGAAATTTTATAGACAATAAATTATTTTCATGTTAATGCGAAATATTGGCCTCTATGTAAAAATATTTTACTTATTATACTTTTTTTTATTAAAATGCATTTTGGAACGTCTGTTTAAAGTAAATCAATATTAGACCACAAAAAAGTGACCTATAAATTTTGATTTCAAAACTCTACACGCAGCGCAGGCGGATTGTAATAATTCATCGTCAGTTTGAATTAACGCTGCAATCTCTGCAGCTACGTGGCACCGAGTTGCTACAAGCAATCCGAGCGTATTCCCTCTGGGAGTGTGTCCTATACAGCACCCCTGTGGTCCATGATATAAAACAAGGTTGCCGAGAGCGAGAAGTACGAGCTGTTGTAATTCAGAACTCTAATTTACAAGCAGAAGCGGAGATTAGAATAAAACTAAGCACACGCGAGAGAAGTCAAAGTGAAAAAGGGGTTGAGCGATTATGCAACACGCTGTTCACCCGTGCCGACCGGGGTGCATAACCGAGTTATCTCTCACATCAGTGTGGAACACAGATTTCATCAGAATGTAAAACGAGCGAATCGTTAACTTTATAACCATAACTTTATAACCAGTGTAGTCAGTATACTTAACTATTTTAATATTTTATAGAGGAAAATCTAATGAAACCAAGATGAGAAAAAATATAAATAAATGAGAATCAAATATTTGACGGCCTTATTTAACTAATTTTTATTAAAATAAAGATTGCAAATAAACGTTTGACAAAAGATTTAGCATTTTATTGTGTTTATTTGTAAAAACTATTTAAATTTAAAAAAACCAAACTGTACTTGAGAGGGAAACATTGAATTGTCGGACGAAAAGGGTAGATTTTGCTCAAACTTCCTCGACCAAAAATACTCCATCCACCACGTCAATTGAAGGAATGGTGATTACAAGTTTTTCAATCGAATGAAAATTAATAGTAAAAAATAAATATGTATGAATAAAATCACTCCGTTTTCAGATTTTTTTTACTCCTTAGAATCACAGCGTTAATGAATTGCTAATGATATATATAATTTTTGGTTACATTTCTTTCAATTTATTTTTTGGAAAAGCATAGTTACGCTATATCAATAATAAGGTACTTCTTTAATTGCAGAAAACCTATTTTATTTCCCTCTTTTTTTTCTACATAATTAATTCCCTGATTAGGGTTTTGTTTTAAATCATATTTATTTTTTCTTTTTTAAGTGGATAGAAAAACTTCTTAACCTGTATCATATTTTGCCTTACAAAAAATGAAAGATTTTTAATTCACCCCTATCGAGCGATTCCGCGCCAAAACCGACCACGTCAGAAGAGATCGGACGAGTCAATTGACGGCGCAAAGGGCCCGGATGCGACACCACTGTAAATGATTTCGGCGGTTTACGCACGGGTTGAGCCTGCACAGCTGGGGTCGGGGGTGGCAATAGTCACTCACCGGAACAATATCGGCCCTCGGAAGAAGGACCTGTTGCACCTGTTGGCAGGCGAGGAGCGGCGGCGGCGGCGGGCGGCTGACGGCTGAGCCCACCTGGCGCTATCGCAGGTGCATGGCTGATTATTTTAAATGTTCCGAATGAGGGTCTGCGTTTTGTGTCGGCGGCGGCGGCGGCGAATGCTCCGACACTACTCGCACTGACACACGGGCGCACGGCGTGCCTGAATCGATAGCAGCACCGCCGCCTGTGGGTCGACGAGGCTGTTGCGCCTTCTGTGCTGCTGCATCGAAACGATTCTCTCTGCGACTAACTCTATCTCTCGCTCTTTTCTGCTCAGCCCGCCCCAGCCTATCGATCTCCGCACCCCCGTCCCGATGCCGCAGCCGCACCCCCCTCCTGCCCTTTTCCTGCGCTGACCTCGGCACTGCCAGCGCAAGCCAAAATTAGCCCAATTTGCATCTCGTCCGCCACCGTCCCTGGCTAATTGTGTTTCTGCCGAAAATCTACCCTTTTTTCCTTCTCGGAACGTGCAGGAAATTTGAGATGGAAATAAAAGAGCGTTCACATGTAAACAGACATACCCCAAAGGAAAATAAACAGAAATCCCTTGCTTGGTGGAAAACAAGAGAAAATTCCACTGTGAGGCAAAGAGAGGTATGACGTTTACATTTCATGACGTCGCACATGTCAAAAATATAATTCTGGCTTACAGACGTATATTTAGACCAGTTGACACTAACGATGGGGGAAGGAAGAATTGATGTTAATTATACGACTGTAATTATTTTTGATGATAAATTTATGTGGCATGATTAAAATACATTTCAGCTTTATACATTATTTTCAATTTTCTGTTCTTGTATCTCTCCTGGCAATCAAATTTCCAATCATCATTATTCTGCATAGTTATGCAAAATGAGAACATTTCTCAATTTTTATTTAATATTTATACTAGCCAGATCATTCTTGCAAGAAGTTTTGCCAGTTAAAAGTTTATTTCTCTTGCAAATTAAGTCTGTTGCAATATTGGAACAAATAATATATATACATTTTTGAGTAAAAAACTTTTAATTTTCAATAAATTACTATCATTATTAGAAATTAGAGCATTACTTAATTTGCGCAAATTTTTAAAATGATCTTGATAGTTAATTTAGGTATCTTCAATAATATATATTTTTTTTTCAATCAAATAATTGGTAAAAAAAAAGAACATTTCAACTAAATTGGAACTGATATTCAAACTATTTTGGAAAAATTCTTTCCACTTTATATCTTGTCTTTAAAAACTGTGTTTTCCCATCCATTTTTATTCTTTATTTTTATGTATAACAATAATGGAGCAATTTGAATTAAATTCATTAATCGCTATTTTTTTCAAACCTTAGAAATAAAAAACCTTTGATTTGAAATGCAGAAAAAGTAAAAGTAAAGTTTATGGCATTAAATTAAGCCGCGTGCATTAATTGAAGCGAACAATAAGTTCATTCCCCGTTAGAGCACGTGCATTCCAGATCTTTGATAAGTTGCCGCCACAGGTGTCAATAGGCACCGATGCAGCTTTTTCCATTGCCCTTCTGGCGGCCAAATGTGCAGCACAAGAGCGCAACAAGGATAAATTATGGGCAAGGCCTGCACTGCATCAACCTTTTTCATTATGCGGCTGCACACTTAACTAAATGCGACCTAATTAATACTCATTAACATCTCGACGCGGAGTGCCATCTGTACGCAGAGTATTTGGGTTAAGTTTGTAAAAAAAACCAAACGATTGAAAGTGGCGTTCGGAATTGAATGACTCGAAATTTCTCAACAATAATGCTGCAATATATTTAAAAAAAACCTGAATGCAATCAAATCAGTCGAGATCGACACGTTAAAAATATTCCACCGATTGCGAAAGTGCCAAATACGCGATAAAAATTAAGGTTGAAATTGGTCGAGCCGAGCGAGTGATTTATGCTAATTGCCTCTCATTAGGCCGCCAGGTTAAATTTTTAAATCGAACGTGGAATGGACGATTCGCGATAAGCGCGGCTGCTTGAGGTGAGATAAGTGCGTGTGTGTGAGCGAGTGAGGCGTGCGTTTGATGGAGCGAAGGCTGCTGAGCTTTACTTGATCACCGCGGCTCTTTCGCTCCGGCCAGTCAGTCAGTGCTGAGGAGACTCTCACTCGGCCAACACCGACCCATACCCATTGGACCGAACACCGTCGCCGACACCATGGGCAACTTCTTCCGCAGCGAAGAGATGGTCCTGTGCCAGCTCTTTCTGCAGCCAGAGGCCGCCTACACCTCCATCGCCCAGCTCGGCGAAATGGGGGTCGTCCAGCTCAGAGACGTAAGATTATTTCATCCTAAATATGTTTGATTGAAAAACACGTGCATTTCTTTATATTTTTCCACTAGCTATCATTAATTGTTTACTAACATTAGATTTTTAAATTTACATAGTTAAAATTTTAAAGACGAAGAGTAAAAAGTTTTAACTTGAAATGTTAAATTTTAGAGACTCATTGAATGACCATTAAATTTATAACACAACAAGCTTCATATATATGTGTAGCTTAAAATTTTATTTTAATATTTAACTTCAAAATTAAATGATTTAGAATTTTAAACTTTTTTATTAAATAATTAAAAACTTGAATTTTTCAATCAAATTTTGTTTATAAGAAACTTAACATAGTTTCAGTCACGAGAAAGATTAGTTAATCAGCGTTGATATAAATTAATATATTCAATAATTCAAATCAATCTGTACTTAATAATTTGCCTTGGCAATTTTTTGCAAAGTTAAGGATACTTTTATGATGAATTAAATTTGTATCAAAATTAAACTCAAATGTTCAAATTTCAATTTTTCAATAAACATTAGGCAGGACAAGCAAAATACACTTCAGATATCATTTTTGTTGTTGGTTTAATATTGACTAAACCAGTATAATTGACCTAAAAATTTAGTTTATCTAGAGTTTCCTTGTTTTTGTTTTTAACCATCTCCTTATTTAATAAAGAAACATAAACAGTGGCAGTTTTAAGTTCTTTATTAGTATCATTATATTTAATTCTGCAGTGCTTTTTGCAACAAGTATTTTTTGCAACCCACAAAAGTAAGTTCAAAAGTAAGTTAATCGCAGTAAGTGATGTTATATTTGAAACGAAATGTTCGCCAAAACTTTCCAATGTTGGTCAGCAGTGAGCATATTGGTCTTGTTCCTTGCTTGCAAAAACAGCATTTTTATGGATCCCGCGCCGCGATTGCTTTTATTGTGGCCAATATAACGCACGACACGCAGACAGGTGCCCCTTTCGAGAGCCCAAACATTCCACCGGCGTCGTGTTCGGCGTGCAACAAGACTCTTTACTTTTGCAAATTGCCGGACATTTATCATAATAGTAGTGATACATAACAAACGGCGGCAGCCTGCGCGCTCCACTTTAGTAATTTATGCAGAGAGATACAGTCGCTCCAGATGCAGGCTGCGTGGAAAACGTTTTCAAATTATTTTCACGCGAGAAAATTAAGGTTTATTTGTTCACGTAGGTGGCCATTACCATACGGGATGGGACTGGCTGGTGAAAATTAAATTTCGCCAACCAAAACAACACTCGCCTGCCTGTCGCTGTCCGATTGAATAAAGACCGGCTGTCGATCAAGTGATCGGCCAGGGAAATGGATTGTTTTTAATCTGCACGTGACGCAAAAGGCAAACCAGGCGTGTGGATTAGTTCGTGTAACGCCTGTCGATCAAAGGAGTTGTCAATTCCAAAAGAAATTATATCACAGTTTCAAATTAAATTTTTTTAATTTAAGCAAAAACTGGCGAGAAGATTCAACGCTTATCAAGAATTTTAAATCAATTTTTTGCATAAAAGCTTTTTATTAATAATTTTGTACCATTCATTTTAGAAATTGTCTTTAGTGATCAAAGTTGTTGGTAAATTGTTTTTCCCTTTTTTTTCAAAATATAATAAGAAAAACATTTTCATACCCACATTATTTCCGTTCCCTTAAGTATCATGACGTAAACGATTGGGTTTTCCTTTTAACAACGTTTATCTCCATGAACATCATTATTCCTTAATGAATATTTCACATAAGTTTTGGAAATTTACCCTTTTGTAAGAATTAAAAGAGTATAAAATAAAATTTTAATTGTGATAGCGATTTCAGATCAATACAACAATAACTAGAAGATGAGAATTTACAAATGATATTAATTTTTACTTGAAGCTGAAAAACCTTTGATTGGTGGTCACTGGCCACATCTTCTGAATCTACAGTCATCAAGAGCCCCCTAAGAAGTAATTATGCTTCGTTCCTTTTGCAAAACCACTTCTTGAGCTCATAGTTTTTTTATCCAAAATTATCTGCAGGATGTATGACGCTGCATCGATGTCAGAACGGAAATAGTTTTTTAGTCAACTCTACAGATAAACTTTCTGCTAAACTACAAAAATGCATGCACTCTTTATTGTTAAAGTTTGCAATTCGCTGCAAATATAAAATTATGCAAAGCAGCTCATGTCCCATTTAATTTTCAACCTATAATTTATATTTCGTAAAGCGAGAGAGATGAAATTTCCATACAATCGGCTTTATTTTGGAGCTCTTTGTATGTGTGTGTCCCTTTCCCTGCAACGAATCTTTTTGTCCAAGGATGTTACTTTCTCGGGATCACCGCGGGTCAAACGAGCTGCTTGCTATGGGACGACGAAATAAATTATGCCTTGATGGTGTTTCTTGCTATAGACGTCCCATTCGCATCTCTCAAGACGGACGTGTGCGAGCGATAAGCTCTCTCGTCGAACACAATCGACAGCCCTTTTCGTCGGACCCATGCAGGGCGACTCTCAATCGACTATAATTACGTCCATTGTATTTGCCGTGACGAAAAAACTCGACGTAAAAAAAACTAACTCTCACTTGGAAATATCATTTACTACGCTGCGTCCGCTTTGCAAAATCACGACCGCTAAATTTCCGTCAAATGAAACGGCGCGTTGACGGACAATTTAATTGGCAACAATCGCCCGGAGATTTCAATTAGTTTGTGGTTCGCGACTGCAGCAAGATAATGTGTATAATAAGGACCAATTCAATTACCCAGATCACGAGCGTGGGCTTGAAATGTTAATGTTATACGTGCGGCTGCCAATCACCCATCAAACGATTGATGTGTTTTGCCACCTTTGCCAATGCAAAAAATGGTACGTTTTTTTATATTGAATTAAAAAAGTAATTTAACTGCGAATAACTTTTGAAATTTAGATTGACTTGAAAGTGACATCTGCTAGAATTTGGAATGCAACGGATAGTCGTGTTTTTCAATAATCATGGTCTTCTATCTCTTGTAATTATGAGGGAGAAATTATCACTGCACTTATCTTATCAAAGTCTCTTTTTGTAGGGATTTCGCAACCAGCGCTCGTGACTGTGACGCCGACACAGTTCAATCATCCATATGTTTCCTGAATTGTAAAGCTTTAAAACAAAATATAGCAAAACGGGGAAAATACCAATTATTTATTAATTAACCTAATTATTTTAATAATCAGTCTATGAATAAAAATGACAGATATATCATAAATGGTTGAAAAACATTTGTATTGTTCATTGTCTAAAAATAGGTTTATTAACCTAATGCAAAAATATGTCTACCAAATGGTCCATTTATCTCAATGTTCTTAAAGTTTTTCTGTAATTAATATAACTAAATTAGTCTCTTTATGTTTTCTGAAGTGATTTTTGTGTGGCTTTATTTTAGCACCAAATGAAAAATAATCCAAGCAGATTGAGACGCAAAGCGGCACCTTAATCTTTTTTAACGCGACAACACCATTTCCTTTTATTGATCTCATTTGTCTCGCTCTCGCTCGATCGAAAACTGGATGCAATCATGCGAAATAACTCAATTTCATCTGTTCTGCAGCTGAATGGGGACGTGAGCAGCTTCCAGAGGAAATTCGTAGCCGAGGTGCGAAGGCACGATGAGCTCGAGAGGAAGTTGCGCTACATCCACGCGGAAATGATCAAAGACGGGTTCAGCGTGCCCGAAGCCCCCACCGAGACAAAGGTGCCCAACCCAAGAGAGTCAACTGATCTTGAGGTGAGAATTTATTTGAGTTTAAAAAAATAAAATAATGCATTTTTCTATAAAAATATATTAAGATAAAGTGCAACTAACAAATTAAAATTCAATTTTTTTAAATGTGATGAAACATTAATTTTTTTTTTACTTCTATTTTTACAAAACCAATTCTAGTTAAGAAAGCCAGAAAAAAAACGAAAATTTCCGAAACGTTATAATCCAATCTTCTCTCTTTCTATAATTTCCACGTTTTTAATTGGCATTTTGTTAATTTGAAGGCTCATTTGGAGAAAACCGAGTCGGAGTTGATGGAAGTTAGTCAGAACGCGGTGAACTTAAAGAACAATTTTCTGGAGTTGACGGAGCTGCGGCACGTGCTGGAGAAGACGAAAGGCTTCTTTGACGAGGTGCGTTTGAAATTGGAACTTGGTTTGCAGCTTATGTAAGTTTTCGCCCAATTTCAGCAAGAGAGCAGCGCTCTGGGCGAATCGGGAAAATCACTGATTGGCGAGGAGGGCGGCCAACCGTCAAATAGAGCTCGACTGGGGTGAGTTTTTGCATCAAAAAGATTTGGGGGGACAAAACAGTGGAAGTTAAAAGTGGTATTAATTAATTTTAATTGGCAGCTTTGTAGCCGGAGTGATTGAAAGGGAGCGAGTACCAGCCTTTGAAAGGATGCTGTGGCGCATTTCTAGGGGAAACGTTTTCCTCAGGCAAGCAGAACTTCCCGAGCCCCTGGAAGACCCAAACACAGTAAGCATATTAAATTTCAATTTTTTTTTTATTCAACCTTTTCTAAATTTTAATTATTAATTGTAAAAAAGATGAATTAAAACTTAATTTTAAATTATATTAATTTAAAATTTTCACCAATGTTACATTTTAAATTAATATAATTTAAAATTAAGATGTGTTGATCGCATCAAATTTTAGCACCGTTTTTGAACTAATTATTGATAGTGGTCTTATTTAACTTGCACGTGGACAGAGAACCGGTTCGAATTCAGAAGCCGCTAGTGATTAATGTTGAAAATTAAAGAATGACAGTCGCACATAAAAGTGTCGCAGCTCTGATTAATTTTTTTATTACGATTCGTTTCTTTCTCGAAAGGGTCACCAAATTTACAAGACGGTGTTCGTGGCGTTTTTCCAAGGCGATCAGCTCAAGTCACGCGTTCGCAAGGTGTGCGCCGGATTCCACGCCTCGATTTACCCCTGCCCGCACCAGCCCGAGGAAAGGGCGGCCACCTTGGAGGGAGTGCGCACCAGGTTGGCGGACCTCACCATGGTAAATATAGAACGATTTTCGCAATCGTATTTCTTTTATATATGGTTAATAATTGGAGTTATGATTAATAAGTTAGGCTCATGGCTGAGCGTTTGCGCGAAAAATTAACACACAATCGCCGCAGTGACGCTTTAATTACTAGTTAAAGCTGCAGCGCAATATGACGGTGAAATGTAGAGCACTGTGAAACTGATACTGCTGCTTTGTTTCTATCTATCATAGTAGAAATTAACAACGACTTTGAAGTGAAACTGGTTTGCAGCGATATTATAGTTTAATTCAGTTATAAATCAATTATAATGTGCAACACAGTATGCCACTAGCAATTTTTTTTTATCTACGAGTTATTTATATTGTTGTTTTTATCAATAATTTATTTTTATTTGGTGTTTTCTTATTTATCAAATTTAATTAACTTGAATTTTATACACTTTATCTTATTATGAGAGAAACTGTTGATTTCAAACTTCATATTTTGCCTTAAAATAAAGTAAAAAAGAAAATTTTTGTATGGAACCTAATACAAGGAAGAATTTCATTATTTGTAAATTACATTCTTCCATTATTATTTTTACTTTAAAATTGAAAGTTGGTACATATAGGAATTTTTTGCTGGAATAGGATATTTTAATTAGATGATTTTTCAGTTGAAATAGGTAAAAGTAAATATAATACAATTAATTTTCAATTTGAGAAATAATTCTTTAATCAAATTTTGTGATTCCCGTTTGCTCGAATGAAGGTACGCTAATTTTGTTTAGCATTCAGTAAATTTATTGATATTTAAAGTTTCAAAATAGGTGAAAATAGGTTCATCAAATAAGGTGATTTTAAAACCTCGTTTTTAACTCAATAATACACATAATAGGCAAATCTAGGCTTTACTTATTTTCTGGAAAATAAGTTGAAAAATTACATTCATTCTCTATCCCTACTTTCAATAAAAATTTTGTATTTATTTATCTCCATCATTTATGAATTTTATTCCAGGTCCTGAATCAAACGCAGGACCACAGGTTGAGGGTGTTGACAAGCGCGGCTAAAGACCTGCACATGTGGACGGTGATGGTTCGCAAAATCAAAGCAATCTACCACTCGTTGAACATGTTCAACATGGACGTGACCCAGAAGTGCCTGATCGGCGAGTGCTGGGTGCCCATGCTTGACCTCCAAAGGGTTCGCCAGGCCCTGGCTGACGGCAGCGTGAGTTTCTTTCTTTTCTATGCTCCGGGCAGTGGGTTAGCTTTGTTTACGCAAAAGTGAATAACAAATGATTTTTTTTTATCGCGAATCTAACACTGGCCCGACTTGTTTTCGCAGAGAGAGGTGGGCAGCTCGATCCCCTCGTTTCTGCAGGTGATTGATACGGACGAGGTGCCTCCCACGTACAACCGGACCAACAAATTCACCAAAGCTTTCCAGAAATTGATCGATTCCTACGGAGTTGCGACCTATCGCGAAGTCAATCCTGGTGCGTTTTACTGAGGCACAATAAGTCAAGGATTACAGTTGAAAAACAGTTCTGATTAATAAAAAATTATTATCAAATATAACGTTTTACAACAAAATTATTTCCTAAATTTATTTTATTGGAAAAACTAAAAATTTTAATTGAATATTTTTTCTCTATGCTCATTTTTACATACTTTTTAATTATAATTCATTTTAAATGTGATTAAATGACAGTGAAACTAATTTTTTTTTCTTCAGCCCTGTACACGATTGTGACCTTTCCGTTCCTGTTTGCTGTGATGTTTGGCGACGTCGGCCACGGAATAATTGTTGCACTTTTCGGACTGTGGATGGTGCTCAAAGAGACAAGTCTGATGAAAATCAAAACCAGCAGTGAAGTAAATCCAAATTTTAAATTTCTGCAGCAATTTTCTAGACTAAATGACACATTTTCAGTTCTGGAATATCCTGTTTGGCGGCCGTTACATTATTCTGATGATGGGAGTTTTCTCAATCTACACCGGCTTCATTTACAACGACTTTCTCTCCAGAGGAATGAACATCCTCGGATCGAGATGGGTTAATCCCTACAATGAGTCGACACTGCAAGATAACGAAAATCTTGAGCTGAACCCTTATGAGGCGTACCAAGACACTCCCTATCCGTTTGGAATCGATCCTATTTGGATGGTAAAAATTAATTTTGTAAATTTTAAAATTTGCTAAAATTTACATTTTACAATTAGTTGGCAGAGAACAAAATCATCTTCCTCAATTCGTACAAGATGAAGATGTCCATCATCTTTGGCGTGGTGCACATGATTTTCGGTGTGTGCCTCAGTGTCGTGAATCACAGGTACTTAAAAAAACCAAAATTAATTTGCAAAATGTCTTAAATGCAGATTTTCAGATATTACAACAACAAAATGTACATTCTGCTTGAGTTCGTGCCGCAGCTTCTGTTTTTGGTGCTGCTGTTTGCATACATGGCCTTCATGATGATCATCAAGTGGTGGCTGTATGGGCCGTTTGATGGTAATTAGAAATAAATTTGATTCCTGACGCCTGTATGTAAATATTTTAATAACGTTTTAACAGTGCAAAAATGGACGCCGGGGTGCGCGCCCTCCATTCTCATCACTTTTATCAACATGATGCTCCAGTCAAAACTTGATCCTCTACCCGGCTGCGAGTCAGTTTTCATGTTCCCATATCAGGTAGACTGGCATTATTTTGTTTTAAGTAATAATCATCAACATATCTCTGGGTATTATTTTATCAAAAATAAAAAATTTAATTGTTTATTGCAAAAAGAGAGATGAAAAATTACCATTGTTTTTCAATTAAACAAAATAGCTTTAACAAATAAAAAATAAAAACTTTTTGCACAAAATAAAAAATTGTGCTTATTTTTTGTAATTTAATAGTCTGATTTTATTTAATTTTTCATTCGTTTATATTTTAATTTTTTTACGATAATCTTTTACATTTAGTTAGACAGTGGCATATAAATTACTGTAATTTCTGTCTTCCCATAAATTCTGATTTCTTTTAAGTGATTTTATATTTTTCAAAATTTTCAGTACGAAATTCAATTGGGATTCCTATTAACCGCCCTGGCATGCGTGCCTTTGATGCTTTTTGGCAAACCGATCTATCTGTCGATCAAAAACTCCCGGACGAAGAAGAGAGTGAGTCTGATTTGATTTATATTTTCTTTTGAACTTTTCCTTGTTTTTTGACCACTTCTGAGAAAAATCGCGATTAATTGAGGCAATAAAATTGATAATTATGTGCAGGCGTCTTTGAGTGGTCACGAGAACCCGCAAGGCATCGAACTGACCGAGGAGATCGGATTGAACTTGAAGAAGAAGACCGCGGCCTCGGGCGGTCACGGCGACCATGGGGACGAAGAAGAGTTCTCCTTTGGCGAGGAGATGGTCCACCAAAGTATTCACACTATAGAGTATGTGCTGTCAACCGTGTCCCACACGGCCTCATACCTTCGCCTTTGGGCTCTCTCTTTGGCCCACTCTCGTAAGTGACAAAAAATCTAATTTTTTATAATGAAACCTACGCTTTATTTTATATTTATTTTACTTTCATTTCAACAAAAAACATGAAATATTATCATTTATTTATTTATTTTTACAGAATTATCTGAGGTGCTTTGGACCAAAGTTTTGAAAATCGGCTTCACCTTTAAAGGTTACCCTGGAGCCATTGCCATATTCTTAATATTTGCAGCATGGGCAGGCATGACCATTGCCATTTTGGTGCTAATGGAAGGCTTGTCCGCCTTTTTGCACACTTTGCGTTTGCACTGGTACGTATTTGAATCCATTCTTTTTTTTTTTTTGAGTCACCAATAATTTATCGCATTCTTTTCTCCGCCCAGGGTCGAGTTTATGAGCAAGTTCTATCAAGGCGAGGGCTACGCGTTCGCGCCATTCTCCTTCAAGAAAATCCTCAAGCAGGATAGCACCGAGGAAGAAGGCTAAAAAAATGCTTGCGAATTAAATAGGGACGTGCCAGTACTTTTGATGGTTAATTTTCTGTTTTTATTTATTACATAACTTTTTATATACTTTTTGAGTAATTTTTATATAGTCAACTGCCTTGCCATTTTGAAGAGCTTGAAACGCTTTTTTTACTGCGGACCAACTGTATTATATCGCAATAAATAAATAAAAACATTGTGATTTTTTTTTTAAATTTTAAAAACGCAGTTTTTTGTCTTCAAAATCCTTTAAAATAAAAATAATTGCTTTATAAAAATAAAATCCTCCAACTAAACTGAAAGAGATTCAGCGATGGCTGGAATAATGCCATTCAAATTCTCGCTTACTGACGTGTTTGAGCGATAAACAGCGAGCAAGCGCAACTGAAGACTTAAACCGAATGCTGCGATTTATTGTCACTGCCACTCAACGCCATTCAAGAATGACCTGCTTGCAATTAAGGTCGCCCGACACCTGCGCCATGCACACCTTTTGTTATGAAATACTTCTTATATTAATTACGGGCATAAGCCAAAGTAATAAAGGTTTTTCCAATTATTAAAAAAATCACGCATATGTACCTGTAATTACAATTTAGTTGATAGAAAAACGCAGAACAAAAAGTTCCCATACCGGGAGTCGAACCCGGGCCGCCTGGGTGAAAGCCAGGAATCCTAACCGCTAGACCATATGGGACTGCTGAGAGAAAAGCCGATACTCTCAGTATTTAGAAGAGACGCTGTTACAGCGCCACGCACTTAGGTGGACATTGTAGGGAACTAACACGCCGCCGCCTGTATCATCCAACAAGGTATCATGCATCTATTCTTATTGTACGGATCTCATAGTTTTAGTTTGTAAATCAATGGGTGTAAAACTTATAAAAAAAAACACTGAGACCAGATTGAAAATTATGAACTATTCTTATTTTTCTTTATAAAAATATCATTCTTTTAAGGGTAAATAATATTCCAAATCATTGGAAGGAAAACATTGAACTTTTAGACAAAACGGCCCCGCCACTAGTAAAAATTTTGCTATATCATCAGTCACAACTATTTTTAATATTTATAGGATACGTTCTTATTTATAAAATTAATTAAAATCTGACCACTATAAATAAAATTAATTTAAAAAACTTTGAACTGCTGATATTTATCATGAACACCAGAGTAATTTTTATTCTCTTTTTAAATGAGTAATTACTATTATGCAACAACAATATAATTTACAGTCAGTCATAAAGCCAAAGAGTTGATTGATTAAACTGTATTACGAGGACGGAATATAATTTTTTTAATGCTATATAGACAGCTTTTTGCACGCTCTAATTTTTGGCACAGTAAAAAGTTAAATAAGCAACGTTTATGGCGGCCTTGACACTTTTGGCGCGTGTACACACATAAGCGCAGGTACTTGTCTTCAACTCCAAAATTGTGCTTTTTATAATCGATTTGTTTATTATGTCAAATAACATATATAAATTTGAAAGGTTTAATTTTTTTATTTAAAAATTAAAAAAATGTTTATTTATTATTATTATTTTTTTTTATTTAAAAAATTTGAATTTGATCTTCTATCCCTATAGTAGACAAGAGTTATTTCGGGGGAAACTATTTTTTACAGTTAGTTCAAAAGCTAAAATTGATATGCAGTGCAGTATGATTTATTGTTAAATTATTTATAGTTTTAAATTATTGTTAAAAAGCATTTTACATATTATTGAAAAATAAAATTAACCGATGTGGTTGGGACGGAAACATTGAATTAATGCACTTGCAAGAATGTTCTTATAACTTTTGATGACTTTTGAGATCTAAAAGACTCCATCCGCTGCAGTGCCTTATGATTGATGACACAAATCAATATTTTAAGAGAAGTCTGTGATTATAACAATCAATCCATAGCAATATATCACAGTGCACAATAGACCATTAAAAATGAGCCGAGAGGTTGCGAAATCGATTTTATCGTTGTTCGTATAAATGCATGCAAAAACGTGCAAAAGCCGGCTGAGATTGACATCAAAACAAACACTCGTGAGAGAACGACGACGGAGGAGCAGGAAAGGCTTATTATGAAAGACAGCAGTCCGTCAGAGATCAATCAAGCCGGCCGATCTGCAGCCGCTCAAAACTCAAATGTGTGTATTCGAGTAGTAGAAGGCACGAAAGATGACAAATTAAAATTAAACAGAGCCTGAATTAAACAAATTAAAGCATAAATTCCTTTAACAATGAAGAGGGAGAGAAAAATAATATTAATAATAAAAAAAATAGAAAGAAAAAACAGAAGAAACGTTTGTCATGTGGCGACAGCCGGAGAAGGATGAGAGGTGGAACGAGTGCGCCGGTGCCGCGGCCGGGCCGCATCACTGGAGCACCAAAGGAAGGGTTTCGCCAGTCGCGGGTCAGCCGCTCCGAACACCGGAGCCGCCCGCCTCCACCTGCCCTGCCCTGACCTGCCTCCGCTGCATGGCGCCCCGTCAACGCAATTAGCCACCAGGTAAACAAACCGTCATCCGTCGAATCATGTAAATTTCGACGCAGCCCAAAAGTTGTGATTTTGCCAAAATTCCGCGCCCCGCCACAGATGCCTGCGCGCAACTAGACCGGGCGCTTTGTGTTTTGCAACTTAAATGTCTGAATTATTTAAAAGCGGCAGAATTCCACCGCAGAATTCCCATTTCGATCACTGTCGTTGACAATGGTGTCTAAAAAATTACAAATTATTTTAATTTTTAATTCTGGCTTATTTGCGGTCAAACACCTTTTATCCGGTTCTGTCTGAAGATGTGCTAAATTATATCAAGGTGGAAAATCCACAAGGAAAGTTCACTTTAAATTAAACCTGGCGCTTGATTCAGGTCACGATGTCATGATAATTTAATTTCTACAATGAACTGTTTTACTATTAATTTCTTTAATCATCGAAATTATCACTTCAATTTAATTGTTGATTAAAATTCATAATAAGGATACAAGTAAAAATTAAAGAAGGCCATAAATAAATAAATAGTAGACAAAATCAAATAAAATTTAGTTAAGAATACAATAAAAAAAAAAAAATTTAATTTATCCTGTTATTTGCGATCTATCATTACAAAAAGATCTGTCAGCTAAAATTATGCAAAAGTATAGAGTACAACATATTTAAATAAACGTTAGCGGGCAAATTTCAAATGTGTTAAATAAATAATCTGAACAAAAATATCTATTCAGGCACTATAATAAGATCTAATTAATAATTATTTATTGATGTTTTTTGTTGTAAAATTGTTTGTACATAATTTTGTTTAAAATATTCTTGGATAAATAAAATAAAAAATCAATTTATGAAAAGACTGGAGTATATTATGGAGTAAAAATGTATCAATATCATTGTTTAGTCTTCACACTTTAAGTCAAAAAAATAATAATACTCGTTGTCAATACACAAAAATTATAATTTCAATCAAACACAAAGCATTATTAAAAAATGAGTTCATACGTTATTAAATAATTTAAATAAATAAGAACAAAATAATATGGAATTAAAAAAGCAAAGCGTAAATATAAAAAAGGTTTGTAATTTCTCAAATATATCAACTATTAATGGAATTTTCTATTTTGTCTTCATAATTTGTCTGCGATTTTCTCTCCGACAGAGCTTTTGAACAATCTGCCTTGTTTCTCCAGAGCAATTAGCTGAGCTAAACAATACATAAATAATTTATGGCGCACTCCTCCGGCAAACTAGACCAACGGCAGAGTACACTCGCGTAAAAGCGCTGCGTACATTTCAATTTGCATACATCCATAAGCTAGTGAGTGCACGCGTTCATTCCACATTGAATATTGCCGCGGGAGATAATTAAAATTATGCCACTCTTTACTACGCGATAAAAAAATAAAACGCTGCCTACGCTTATGACAATCCACAACTTTCAATTTTATTTGTTACCACATCGCACCTGCACGAATCCATCAATAGTAAAATTCTGCGCCTTAACAAAATTAGGTCGCTTTTTTTATCGCATCTCGTTCAACCGTGTCAGTTTTAAGAAACTTTAACTGAAATGAAAAGCGCACGAGTTGCTGATTTTTCTTGCTGCACGTCAAAACACCACAAAGGAGAGTGCAAATAAGTTGAGGAAGAGTCGCGAGTCAGGCAGGATAAGTAAGTGCAGCTCATGATTTTCTTTTATCTCGCGCGTCATTTTCTTTTTTCACGCTACAAAGGAAAGCAATCTTTGGTAGGGTGTGCACGAAAGAGACGAGGAAACACCCGAGGTCAGGATAACACGTGGAGCAAGAATCTGTCAATAATGAGCCTCGGCACAGTCGATCCGATGTCAATTATCTCGCGGCTTGAGGCTCCTATCCCAACATAAATCTTAACCCTTTCCACGTCTACATTGATTGCGTGCGAGTAGTCTGAGACGAACTATCTGTCATTATTTCCCGCACCTGTACATCCAATTAATAATAGATCAAAGGTAGAAATTGGCAAAAATTTGGCCAATTACGCGAGGCCTCATCAAAATCAGTGTACAGAAAGATGAATCAGGAAAATTGGAACAAATATTATTATTACTTGCCAATTTCATCGGCAAAAAAGAAATGGAGGAATTAAAAGAAATATCTCAAGTAGAAATTGCAAACTTTAATTTTGCTATAGAGAGATTGAATTAAGCAAAAGCCAACCCAAGGCTAAATTTTCTCTTTCTATTCGGCAGTATCAATTCAGGTCACCTTTTGTGTTGCGTAATGAGATTTTTCTCGCAATTTAAATCCTCCGCAACACACTGAAGATTTTTTAATTTTCCCCGAAGAAACCCCCAAGGCGCTCGTTCAAAAACACCAACTTCCCAAATAGGGTAATTTTTATTCCTTATCTACAATATGCATCTAACTACGAAGTTCTCACGACAAAAGTTTTCAAGTGTGACAGAGGGAATGACGCTTGGTCGTTGCTAGTGAAGTCATAATTTATTGTGACTTTGTGTCTTGCTTTGCGTAACTCGATGAATTGAAAGGCATTTGAAATTGAAATTGTCGCTTCTAAACGAGAATTTTATACGTGACGATTTGTTTGGCATTCTTAACAAGGCTTATCTGAAATCGTTTATTAAAACTTTATTTTAAAATTTATGTATTTTATTCATTCAGGTTATACAACTCGCGTCAGAGATGCTGCTGGTATTTAATTTAAAAATTCCAATTTGATCTGACGTAAATCGTATAGTGAATAATTCCAAAGCAATGATCAAACGCTCTGAAGCAATCCGTCGTCTACTTTCTAACTTGGGCCAACTTTGTCGCCGAGAATATTAATCATCCTTTCCTCTCTCATCAAGCATTGTAACGAGCGCGAAGATTTTTCACGCATCAATTTTTGGCTCGTTTGGGCCGGATATATCACGCTTTGCTATAGAGTGTCCACCTCGTTTTAACCACCATTAATTTCGCCGTAAATTTGGCCGGGCAAACATGACACTTTGCACTGCCAACTGGCCCGACGGCTATTACGAGGCGTCGCTCTCCCGCCTACTAAAAATAATATGCGATGCGAATATAACTTCATAATCGACTTTCACCACTCTCAGCTGTGTTTATCACACATTTAGGTCGTGCACTCACTAATAAGGTGCCTGCCGCGTTAGTGACATTTTTGTATTAAGGCCAAATTTGCCCTCGAGAGAGTGAAAACTTAATTTTCGCAACTATATACTCAGCAATTTGCAATCAAGCAGCTCAACTTATATAAATACGATCTATATAGGCAGTCTAAATTTAATAATTTGATTGAGCTTGGTCGCATTAAAAAATAAATTTCATTAGAAATTGATTGTTGAATAATTCAAATTTTCCAAGTAAAATTAAAAAAATCTCAATTTGAAAAAAACATTTTGCAAATTTTTGGATTTCTCAAGAGCAGATAGCAATTTTTAAGAGCACTCGTTATCTAAAAATAAGCAGACAAAATAATTCTGTGATTTTCTTCTTGCTTTGAATTTAATATTTGCAAATGTTGTCAAGAAATTCTCAAGCTCCTTTGTTCTCACTACTGTAGAGTGAATATAAAAATAAGCAGACGGATGTCGTTTGCAAAACCTTGTTGCGGCGTTTATGACGTGCTGCGTATTTCTATAGCGATATAAATAATAATTGTATTCCCAGCGCCGCCGCATGTGAGCCTCTACTTTAATTGATATTATCAACTTGAATGGTCAGCGTGATGGGATCGCTCAGCCGTGCTATGTCGATTTGTCGCCGCGTGTGTCCATGTAGGTTGGCCGCGTGATGCAAATTGACAAGCTTTTAACTCGATTTCAAGTCATCTACTTGCGTAATTGAAACGCAACTCGTGGCAAAATGTACAAAGTTTTGATTCGAATTCGAAAGTCGCTGCAGATTATTAATTAATTCGCTTCCTTTCGGAAGTGAACACTCCGGCAAAGTTTACAAGCAAGTTTGACGTCAGTAGAGTGTATAGCTCGAGGCCTTAGACAAATTTAATTAAATTGGTCATCAAAGAGCGGTGGTCAACCAAAAGGGAGTGACGAGAGTTGTTGGCAAGGACAGGCCCGCTTTGTATTTGAACAATTTTATTCCTCCTATAAGGTCGCTGCGTAATTACTAATTATACTTAAAAATTTAATCTCAAAACGGAAAACTTCTCTTTAATGTTGCAGCCCGTAATGCCCTCCGACTTCAGCATGGAAACGGCTGAGAAGCAGCCTCAGGGCTTCGTGGTCAGCCGCAGGGCAGCCCTGGCGCTTTTGGCCACCGCCTTCGCGGCCATCGTCCTGACCGCCCTAATTATGCACAGCGTCTCATCGTCGAAATGCAAATCGGCCCTTGAGAAGGAAAACCTCATAGACGGTCAGAATTGGCCGGCCCTCGCCCCTCCAAAGGTCAAGGACGTCCGACTGCCGCGTTCGGTGGTGCCGGACCGGTACCATGTTCGGCTGGTGCCTCATCTTTGGGGCACCGGCTCAAACTTCACATTCTCAGGCAGTGTCAACATTAAGGTCAACGTGACTGAAGACACCAACAATATCACCCTCCATGCTAATGAGCTTATTATAAAGTAAGTATTTAATAATTTATTAGACTGATTTTTCATAATGAAATAGTATATTTCCGAATGTATGTAAATGGTTTATTGACTTATTTAATTTTAATTGGAAATTAAAATTGCACGAAGAGTTTCTGGTAGTGTATTTTTTTTTCAAATAAAGAGAAGTGGAAAAAGTCTTTTTCATTTTAAAATGTCCTTAATTTGATTTGAATGATACACAACATGAAATAAGACTAAAATTTTTGACTGTCTACTATTTCAAATCAAATTATAGCCTTCGATATTCAGCTTTATTGAAGAAAAAATCCAATAAATTTATATGAAAAAATTATTAATTAAAATACATTTTAATGATTTAATAATAACAAGAAATGTTCCATTATTAATTGAATATTTCATATATATATACTAGATTTTAGTATCGTAAAATTATATTTAATAACCTGTTTAAAATTTTTATTTTTAGACTTTTTTTAAACCAGAAACTCTTTCTTATTAACAATTTCAGGCAAGAGGCAACCAGAATATTTGCAGCAACCCCTGGGAGTGACACTCTGGGTGGGTCTGTAACCGTCACGTCTCAAAGTAGAGACGTACCCAGGCAATTTTACATACTCCATACCTCAGAAACCCTGAAGAAGGGCAAAACCTACGAGGTTCAAATGACATTTACTGGCAAACTAAACGACCTTCTCCAAGGTTTCTACCGCAGTTCGTACCAGCAAAACAACCAATCAAAGTAAATTTTGAATTCTTTTGAGTCACGACCTGGAAATGACAAATTTAATTCAAAAGATGGATAGCAACGACGCAGTTCCAGCCGACGGACGCTCGGCAAGCCTTCCCTTGCTTTGACGAACCGGCACTCAAGGCCAAGTTCAAAATCAGCCTGGCGCGGCCTAAGGGACTCTCGTCTGTGTCCAACATGCCCAAAAAGAATTCACAATCCGAGCCAGTGTAATGACCCAATGAATTTTTCATCAGCACACAATCTCTCAAGTTTCCCCTTTTTAGCGACGGTTTGCCCGGCTGGGAGTGGGACCACTTTGAAGAAAGCGTCCCCATGTCCACTTATCTCGTCGCCTTTGTTGTTTCCGAGTTTTCGCGGATGGACAACGGCTCGTTTTCGGTGTGGACGCGAAGGGACGCCATCCAACAGGCCGCATACTCTCTGCAAGTTGGCCCGGCGATTTTGAAATACTTTGAGCAGTATTTCCAACTTCCCTTCCCTCTGCCCAAAATCGACATGGTCGCGCTGCCGGATTTTGCTGCCGGCGCCATGGAAAACTGGGGACTTATCACCTACAGGTTTGATCAATTTGATTTCTTTTAGTCTAATTTTTTTTTTTTTTTTATAATTATCTTTATCCTAAAATATCGAAAAATTCTAAGCATTTCTTATGCAAACTCGATGCAAAAATTCCTAACGGATGTGATCTGTGATGGAATAGCGAGAAAAAACATATGAGCCTAAAAATACAGGATCTTCTGTCAGTTTTCTCAAAAAAGTATCACTTTTAGACAGGTGGCGCCGCTTCGAACGCTGATTTTGCACTGAGCCTGAAGAAGCGTTGGAAATAACTTTTTTTCAGACTTTTTCGCGCCATTTAGTTTTCTTGCTATTGCGACGCATCCATTTAGAATAAAAATAAATATAAAGTAATAATTTGAAAATAGGGAAACCGCTATGTTATACGAGGAGGGAGTCTCCGCCAGCAGTAGCAAGCAAAGGGTGGCCACTGTGGTTTCGCACGAACTGGCTCACCAGTGGTTTGGAAATCTAGTCACGCCGGAGTGGTGGACTGACCTCTGGCTGAACGAGGGTTTTGCAACCTATGTGGAGTACCTGGGTGTTGATGCTGTGAGTTTGATTTTACATTTAAAAACAAAAAAAAAATTTGCGAACAATGAAATTTATTATTATTATTTTTTTTTAAATATTCTAGGTAGAGCCATCTTGGCAAATTATGGAGCAGTTTGTAATTGACGAGATACAAAACGTATTCTCACTAGACGCACTTGAAACGTCTCACCCCATTTCAATAGAGGTCGGTCACCCAGACGAGATCAATGAAATATTTGATCGAATTTCATATCACAAAGGTGCGTCTTTTAAATTTATAAGTTGTAAGAATTAATCGAATTTCAAAATATGTAGGTGCTTCCATTATAAGAATGATGGACCATTTCTTGACACATGACGTGTTTTCCAAAGGACTGAACAACTACCTAAAGAAAAAGTAGCTATTTAAATTCAAAGGATGAATATTTATTATTTTTTATCTAAATTTAAAGGGCGTTCAAAAGTGCAACGCAAAATGATCTATGGACGGCGCTGACCGATCAGGCCTACGCAGACAAAGCGCTTCAATCGAGTATGAGTGTGGCCAAAATTATGAACACCTGGACTCTGCAGACTGGTTTTCCAGTAATAAAAGTTGACAGAAATTACCCTGATGGTTCTGCCGTCATCAAACAAGTAAATTTTTTGGAAATTTTTATTTGATACATTATTATTTTTTTCTTTTTAATTTTAGAGCCGCTTCCTGCTTAACCCTGATAGCAATGTTACCAAACAAGAGTATTGGTGGGTGCCAATTACCTACACAACCGCATCAGTTAAAGACTTCAACACAACCAAACCCAGTCTTTGGCTGAAAAAGGAACCAAAATCAACAATTTCAGATCTACCTCGAGGAGATACAGAGTGGCTCATTTTAAATATTCAACAAACAGGTACAAAAAAATAATAATAATAAATAATTTAAATTTACCTTGGTCTTAATCAGGATTCTACAGAGTAAACTATGATGAGAAAAACTGGGCTCTTTTGACAAAAGCTCTGAATTCTGAAAACTTCAGCGGTATCCACGTCATCAACAGGGCGCAATTACTTGATGACGCTTTGGCTTTGGCCAGGGCGGGACATTTGGATTACGGCACCGCCTTGGACGTGACCAAATATTTGGAGAGGGAGCTCGATTACATCCCTTGGAAAGCGGCCCTTAACTCTCTGAATTACATCGACAACATGCTCGTCAGGACTGCCGCCTACGCCAATTTTAAAGTAAAATAAAATTGAATTTAAAATATTTTTTTTTTAATTAATTTTTTTTAAAGGCCTACATGAGAAATCTAATTGAACGGCTCTATGTGGACACCGGCTCGGAAGAAAAACCGGGCGAGCCGCAACTGACGATCTACAAGCGGGTGAAAGTCATGAGCTGGGCCTGTAGTTTGGGCCACGAGGGCTGCATCAATCACAGCATCAGCGTGTTCAACCAGTGGCTTAAAAGTCCCAATCCCGACCAGCAGAACCCGTGAGTTGATTTAGATTCATTAAGGAGGATTTATGTGATATTTTGGGAAACGCGCATTAGTCACTCGGAAATCTAACGAGCTTTTCTATTTCGGGCTCTTCCAGGGTTCCAGCCAACTTGAAAAATGTGATATACTGCACCGCGATCAAACACGGCGGACAAAAGGAGTGGGACTTTGTCTGGCAACGATATCTCAAATCGAACGTTGGCTCCGAGAGAGACCTGCTGCTCACCTCGCTGGGGTGCACCAGAGAGACGTGGCTCTTAAACAGGTGCGTTGATTGTTTCGGGGAAGAGTTGGAGAATTATTAATGATACACTTCTCTGTAGATATTTGCTGTGGGCCGTTACGGAGAACTCGGGAATCAGAAAGCAAGACTGCGCAAGGGTGTTTGGATCCGTCTCGAACAATGTTATTGGCTCGTCAATAGCGTTTAATTTCCTTAGGGACGAGTGGGAACGCATCAAAAACTAGTGAGTAACCCATTATCTTCATTCATTTTTTTTTAATGCAAGTACTGCAATTTAAAGTGGATTTTAACAGCTTGGAATAATTAAGATACAATTATTTTTAAAATTTAAAATTATAAAAAATAAAATTAATGCTTATTTAATGTTAATATTTTTTGTTCCTAAATTAAAAGAAAATTTTAATTTCTAAATTTCCATATCATATTAACTTTTTTTGCACCTCATACGCATACAGAAAATTTATAATCTATTAAGTAATGCAATTCTATTTTGTTAAAATAACGTCAAATTTAACAATAAATTAAAAAATGCTAAAAAATTATAAACAAACTAATTAAATAGTGGTAAATTGTTCAAATTTGATATTAAGTATGAATCAAAATTCAACTGCCTCTTTATTTGCTGGACTAATTGTTTTTATTTTTATAATTTTCATGTATGTGTCATTCAGTTTATTGAAGCTGTTCCAAACCACTTTGAAAGTGCACTTAATTGTTTTGCCTTTAGTTTCACATTTCACTGTGTACGTAACTTGTTGTAATGTAAATCAACTTTTAACTTGTGAAAATCAAAGTCCCTGCATTATCAGTAACCACCGGTTTATGTTTGTAAATAGTTCATGATCCCTTGTACAAAGCAAATCCTGTATTAACAATTCATTGTTAAAAAATTTCAGACATATTTTCATTTTAAATTTAACAAATCACAACAAACTTGCCAAGGTTACAGATAAAAAGGGGTTAAGAAAAGTTTCAAAATTTCCGTATTAATTCACTTCTTGAGAAAAAAAGACCTTCTCACGAGGTCGATCTGCGACTGCAGACAAAAAAAAATTAGGCATGCGTTTTTTGAGTTGGGATTGTTGTTTTCGTTGCTAGCCTTGGCTCGTCGCTGTTCAGCGTGAGCAGCATGATTCGCACGTCCACCCACCGCCTGCAGACCCCAAGAGAGTTTCAGGAAGTAAGTATGCGCTGAGCAAAATATGGTAAATGTGTTGCAGCACCATCGGACCAGGTGGACTTGGGGACACGGTTGACTCGCTGACCTACTCCATCGTGAGCCCGTCGGACACTGAGCAGGTCCACAACAAAAAACGACCCACAACGATAATTTTTAAAATATGATAATTTATTACAAGCCCTAAAGGACGCGAATTTTGCTTCAGCGTTAAAAGCAGCTGTTCATTTGACTTTAAATCCAAGGTTTTGATAAAAATTTACCAGAGTTTAAAGAAAAAAAATAAATATATGATTATCTTGATTTTGAAAGAAAAAATTTATGCAATATTAAGATTTTAAAAAAGAGTCTCGTTTCCCCAAAATAGTGACTTTTTTATTTTCAGATTTTAGTTGAAAGTCCCAGGTTAAATCGTTTTGAGCTTTTGACGCACAGGAGTCTCCAAATCATATTTTTTTTAACTTGCGAATGTTTTGATAATTTTAATTTAATTGCTGCCGTAAAATTTATGAAAGTTTATTTTCACTCTAATTTAATTATCAACGTTACAGTTTGTGATGAAAAAATATTTAAATCATATGTGAAAATGCGTAAAAAAATCCCTTAACATAAAAAAAATGAAAATTCCAAAGAAAATCTTTTTTGGGCTCACATATTTTGAATTAAAATGACATGTGTCACAAAGATCTATTGTCAGAATGCAGGTTAAAAAGAGTTAAAAAATCTAAACGACTTTCATTCGCCAACTGCAATAATCTCTGGCATGATCTTTTTTATCAGCTTTAATTTACAACTTCAACAATTTTTAATGATTTCAAATTAAATTACAAAAAACTTTTTTTTATCAAATTTTCAATTCATATTATTTTTTAATTTTAAGGTTTAATGAAAGTAAATATAAAAAGATTTAAAAAAAGTTCAAACCCAATTATAGTAAAATTAAAATAGACGGACGGTCTGCTAGAAGCTCAAATTCGCGTCTCGCCGGCAAGTTTTCCAATAAGGCTCTAATTGCGTTTGTGGCGCATGTTTGTTTTTGCAGTTGAAGCAGTTCGCCAAGCGACACCGCAGCGAACTGGGCCCTGCGACTAGGGCAGTGGAGCAGTCGATTGAGCGGGCTGAGGCCAATGTCAACTGGATGGCGAGAAACGCAGCGCACATCGAGACGTGGCTCAAGGCAGCCGCAATCTTCAGCGGCCAAGAAGCCCTTGCGAAAAGTTAAGCGCCGGCGGAGAAGCGGAACTTTTGCGCCCCTCCTCGATTATTGTGCATTTCTAGATTTACAAATTGTGCACGTGCAATGACGTATTGTACGCATCTTCTGTACTTACTGACTAACCCCCCGACCTTGTGGCTATTTTTATAAACATTTACTCGGCGTGCGTTAATTTTTTTATTCTTAATTTCAATTATTATCATCAGTTAAATTATATTGTTATGTTTTTTAAATTAAAACTATCCTCAAGTATCTGCTAAATGTACACGCTTAATTTTAGTTGGAAGTTTAATAAATTGTGCATATTTCATAAAATTTTGTCTTTTTAGTTTATTATTTTGTACTTGTCTATTTATAAAATTACGTTGATTGATTCTGATATCAAAATTTAAAAGTTTAGCATATTTGCGTATTTAAAAACTTCATTCCTTTACTCCTTTACTAAAAAGTCTCGCATAAAGTTTTCCATTTTCAATTCAATATCGGAATTCTTCAGTCTTGTGCATGGCACCTAAAATGCAGAAAAATTTCTCTTCAGTTTAGGAAACACCAATTTTTGGCAAAACAAGCAGAATTTATAAAAAAAATGTGTATAATTAGAGCCGACTTTGACTTTGGTAATTCTAAGAAAAAATAAAATATGAAAGGAAAGATGAGCAAGTGAAAGTAAAAAGCACTCACTACTTTGGCGTTCACGTTGAAAGATCCTTTCTGGAAGTGGAGATGAGAATCATCGTGCTGAATTCCATAGGCTGTGGCTTCTTCAAACACGTCCTCCACACTGACGGACATCAAGGATGCCAGCCAGCAAGCAGGAACTTTCAGCACTTTGCTGCTGTAGGCAACACTCATGAGTGCAAGAGCAGTTCTAAAGAAACAATGAAATTTTATTTATGTGATAAAATCTTTAATTAAAAAAATAAAATTAATAAAAACCTTCGAATGTGAGGGAGGTGTTGGGAAATGGTGCAGGCAAGTGGAGGAGGCAAGTCTTTGAATTTGCGGAATATCCTAGCATAGTTCGATTGACCAACCAAAATTGTCATTCTCAGAGCATTCTTAGAAATTTCAGTCCTGAATTTTTTATGTAATTTTATTTAATTCGTTAACAAATTTATGGTTTCAAACCTGCAATCTGGAGGAAGCGAAACAAGTCTCAATTGACCTTCGCCACGGTGAATGTCGTGCAGAGCAAATATTGATTCAATCAGATCTCTATTTTTAGAAACACAGCCAAAATCATACAGGTCGAGTGCTCTTCTCAGGCAGTCGATCAAGAGATCATTGTTTAATTTAGGATCAAATTTAGAAGTTTGCTGATCGCAAAGTCTGCAAAACAAAATATACATATCATTATTGATTCCTTTATTTAATAATTGCAAGTTTTGTTAATCTACCTATATCCTGCATAAATATGGAAAAGCACCATGAGTTCTAGAATTGATAAAACCTCCTCCCCACCAAGGCCTTGCACAACCAAGTCCTTGCGAACTGCTCGAAGTCTGTCGGCAACAAAATCATAAACAGCCGTCCAAGATTTCATAGAGTTTTGATTCAGAGCCAAACTGGAAATGCAAATTTTATCTATAAATTATAAAGGAAATGATATAATTTTTTACATACTTAACCAAGTAATTGGTTGTTCTTGAAAGAACAGGCAGCGGGCGGAGGTCGCAAGCTCGTTCCTGCCTGTGACCTGCGGCAGGTCGACTGTACTCTTTTACAGTCTTTGCCGGATCTGCCAGTGGCGGCGAATGCCTTTCCGAGCCGATTTTCATCTCGAGAGGATGAAGAAGACGTTCTCTCTGACGCCTGAAAATTAAAAATGGTAATATTTTTGTTAATTTAGCCAAATTTTTAACTGACATTTCCCGCTCGTTCTTGGGGCACATTTCCTCACAAGTGCCTTGAATAAATATGTTGATGCTCGCCGATGACATCGCCACAAAAGAGTAGAAAAAGTCCTACTGATTCGTTTGCCAAAAAGTATTTGGCTAAAAGCACTGAAAGTACGAAATATATTTCAAATTTGAAAAATAATTTTCAGATGTCAACAAAGACAACACAAGACAAAACATGCAGGCAACCGGCGAATCAAATTAGAGATGTTCCGGTAACTCACGGTATATATCGTTACCGGTAAAATTTTACGGTATACCGGTAGAATACCGGTATTTCTTTCAAACGGTAAGGTTACGGTTACCGGTAAATTTTGAACATACCGTTAACCGAACTTACCGGTTTTTATCGGTTTTCGCGAGCGGAGCGAGCGAAAAATTTTTGCAAACGGTAATTCCGCGAGCGAAGCGAGCGCAAAATTTTTGCCCGCGGTAACTCTGCGAGCGAAGCGAGCGCGAAATTTTCGGACGGTACCTCTGCGAGCGAAGCGAGCGCGAAATTTTCGGACGGTACCTCTGCGAGCGAAGCGAGCGCAAAATTTTTGGACGGTACCTTTGCGAGCGAAGCGAGCGCGAAATTTTCGGACGGTAACTCCGCGAGCGAAGCGAGCGCAAAATCCTCGGACGGTAACTCCGCGAGCGAAGCGAGCGCAAAATTTTCGGACGGTACCTCTGCGAGCGAAGCGAGCAAAAATCCCAGGGCGGTAACTTCGCGAGCGAAGCGAGCGCGAAATTTTTGCTCGCGGTAACTCTGCGAGCGAAGCGAGCGCAAAATTTTCGGACGGTACCTCTGCGAGCGAAGCGAGCAAAAATCCCAGGGCGGTAACTTCGCGAGCGAAGCGAGCGCGAAATTTTTGCTCGCGGTAACTCTGCGAGCGAAGCAAGCGTAAAATCTTCAGACGCAAAACTTTCGGACGGTACTTCCGCGAGCAAAGCGAGCAAAAATTTTTGAAAGAGAAATATGATTTATGATAGAGCGCAAAGCAACTAAAGCGATTAAGACTTTCAAAAGTGCGCGAGTTAAGTAAAATCTTGAGTGCGACCAGTACAAAATTTTTTCGAGCGCATCCATTTAAGCAATTAATTAATAACAATATATTAATCTTTATTGTGAATACAACTTTTAATGTGTGAATGCTCAGGATGACGAGGGGTTAATTGTCATAATTAGACTGGTTCTTATATTGAAGAAATGATTTATTTCTTAAATTAATTAAATATGCTATTTTATGAATAAAAATTTTAAATTATCAAATCCAACTTCTTTGGACGCTAAACAAGAGAAGTATAAAATGGATAAAATGTCAATATTTAATTATCATTTATTATATAATATCCATAATATCTATAATTTATTATAAACAAAATATGCTAATTCAGTATTTGTAATATTTCAATTTTCAATTAATATTTTTATTTTATAATAAAATCTGATTAAAAAAAATTAAATTTATTGATTTAATTTGAAAGCAAATCTTCAGTCGAAAATTATTTATTTCATTTTTCTTTAGCAAGCGGCCATATCCAGCGAATGATTGTGAGAGTTGTATGTGATGCGGCCATGCAGCCAAACCAAATATTATGCAAACCAATAAGTCGCGCACGATGTCATAATATTTTATGAGCCTATCAGATTTTTTTAATGAAATAAACTAACTGAAAAAAGCTTAAAATACCTGGCATAAAGGTAACAATAAAATTAATGATTAAATAATTATATGATTTTAGCCAAGTAAGATGTCAAGCTAAGTTATATAATTATTTATTTCATTCATAAATATTTTTTTTTAAATATAGAGTTCATGACCGACTTTAGTGCTGGATTTGGCTGCTTAGTGCTTGCACTAAAAGAAAATATGTAAAATAAATTTTGTTTTTAAATTCAAACAGCGATCCAAAACTGAAAACAAAAATTCAGCGATGAATTCACTTTGAATTTAATGTGGCCGAGTCGCGCGGGCAGTCAAGTATCCAGCAAACGGAGTTGCATGGCACACTGCCTGACTGCATTGATTTATTAATATATCCATGTCGGCACACTGCCTTCCCCCACGAACACACCAAATTCTGTTGTCTTTTGAATGTTCTTGTCTTTTAGCCGATCAGCGATTTTTAGCAATAAGCAAACGTTGTCGCGTTGGTGAGAATCGTTCTGTTGATCAGATCTGTTGCATTAATTTTACAGTTGCCGGAGCTCATTATTGGATTATTCCTTAAAATACAACGAACTTGTGGTTACAAGCTATATGGGGTGTATTTCTGATAAAAATAAACGAGAATGAAAATTTCTGAAAATTTAGCAAAAAAAAAATAATTAATACCGGTACTACCGGTATATTACGGTACGGTAATTTTTTTAATTACCGGTAACTTACCGGTTAATTGGATACCGGTATATTCATCAGAATACCGGTATACGGTAAACGGTAAATTTTAAAATTACCGGTAAACGATATACCGGTAGCTCAAAGGTTTGGGAACATCTCTAAATCAAATGCAGTGCGGCCTTGCGACTGTTGTGATCTGCCATCTATACGAGCGCCTTGAACTAGTAATTATTTAAAGAGAGAGCTCAAATAATTGCAGTAAAAAGACTCCACAGGAAAAAGAAAATTTAAAATTTTAATTGAGCTATACTTCTTTACCAAAAAACGCATGCTCATATTATGCATTTTAAAAAGATGGCTTTATAAATATTACAACTTTCAATAATTTCCTACTGCTCATTGCTCACTAACAAGGCTGATTTTTAATTTTTTTTTTTTAATTTTATAGGTTTTATTTAATTAAAATTAAATTTTATTCAATTTGGGTTTTCATTTCATTTTTTTTTTAATTCTCATGTACCGTTTAATCACATTTCTTTAGTTTATTTAATTATAAAAAATTAAATATTATTTTACTATGTTTTTCAGCATGGCACAGATCAATTTCAATTCAATTTATTTACAACATTTCATCTTTATAATATATAACTTAAAATAAACATCTTCAAGAAATCAAAAAAGCTTCATCATTGCAACTCCAATAAAGAAATTGTTCCAACTTGTCTAAAAATTAGCAATCTTTTACTGATTTACAGCTTGAATTAAATGAAAAGCGTGTGAGCAACATTATTTTATAACTAATTCTTTCTCCAGGATTTATATCCTCGATTTTCAAACTCTTGTTCTGCTGTTTATACTAAAATAATTATAGTGGAGGTTTTAATAATTTTAGCCTTAAAAAAGTAGCAAAAACTACTCTATTATACTAAAATATAAAATTTTAAAGTATGCACATCTCCACACGTCGCCCTTGTGCAGTAGTATATTTATTTCAACAGAGAAAGAGAGATCCCTTATAATTGCATGATTATCCAGACCCTCGCTGTCTCATCATTTTGTCACCACGGTCAGTTGCAGTTCATCAGTCCCTGCGGTTGGTGAACTGTTTATATAGTGCAAGACAAATTTGATCAAGGATTTCGTGTAAGTCCTGGTTCATCAGGCAGAAGTTGGGTTATCCAGGGTAAGTAATACTAGATTATGTATAAGATTATGATATTATTCTGTGCGCCTTCAATTATCGCGTATTAAGTATGTGTATTTTAAGAAAAAATGCAATATTTAATAAAATTCTTAAAATTGCGATTGTTTAAATGTATAAAAAAAATTGAAGTCAAGATTAAAGTGGAATTATATTTTAAAATATTAATAAATTAAAGCAAATATTTACAACAATATATTTTTCTAGTGTAATTTCAATGATAATTTATTTCAGATACTCTAAAAGTATGTTTCATGTGTTCCTTGACAACATTGATGATGGAATTGGAAAAGCGTTTTTATTTATAAAGTACTATAATTTTTCACGAAAAGAAATTTTTAAAAATTGGAAGCCACGCACGTCACAGCGCTGTCATTTAACAAGGGCAAATAAATCAATTCTAAGCACCCACTTCCTTCGTTCCCTTTGGTCCTCTTGTTAATTTGCGCAATCAGCGCCAACCGCAAGTTGCTATGCGTCTTTCTCCAGAACGAGGGTGCTAATAAATAAATAGCACTTCATCTAGAATTGGTTTTTCAATTGGCTATTTATTTCTATTTTTTATATCAAATTTGTGCATATGCGCGTTTTTGTCTTTAAATATTGCCAATATTAATTAAAATTGAAAACAATTGTTTTAATTTTTAGAACTTCAACAGTCTAAAATGGCTAAAGGGCAGGGCTTTTTGGCCCTGAGCCTGACGGTTCTATTGGCAATGGTATACGGTGGACGAGTGCCCAGAGGTGCCGATTTCAAAGCCATCAACCATCGGCACGTGGACATCAGGCTTCCGCCCGGAATAAAGCCCGAGTCGTACTTTTTGCAATTGCAGCCATTCTTGGAGCAGGCAAATGTTTTGTTGTCAAATAAATAATTTAATTAATTAAAATATAAAAAAACCTAACCAGGACCTATTCCGCGGACACGTTTTCATCAACATCACGGTGACCTCTGACCTGGAGCAGCGCGACCTCATCACTTTGCACGCTGGTTCCAAGTTGAAACTGAAACACGTCACCTTAGACGAGGTCTACCCTGCGGGTCCGTTGGCGCCGACGACGCCCGCCCCAGTTTTAGATGCTGAGGAGACGACTGATTTGCCTGAAGAAGTGGAGGAACCTCCGACTGTTGTCAGCGTGGACAGGGAGCCGCAGGGTCAACTCCTGCTCATCAAACTGTCTAAGGAGTTAATACCTGGCTATTCGTACAGGCTGGGCGCCGAATTTTCAGGACATATCAACAACAAATCCAGTGACGGAATCTTCAAAGGTGAGGAAATATATAAAAAAAAATTGCTGATTTTATTTTGATACAAAATTAAAAATAAAAATTTCTCAGGTCATTATGTTAACCAAGTTACCGGCAACACACACTTTTACGTGGCCGCTCACTTCAAACCAAGCTTTGCCAGAACCGTCTTCCCCTGTTTCGATGAGCCGGAGATGAAAGCCGTGGTCACTGTGTCCATCGCTAGACCAAAAGAGACCGACCTGCGGACAATCTCAAACATGCCTCACGTCTCCACTTTGCCCATGTATTAAAACATCTTTTTTTATAATTCTTTTTGAAAATTTGAATTAAATTGAATAAAGGGTTAACGATATTTCCTGGGTCTGGGATACTTTTGAGGCGTCGCCCCCGATGTCTACCTACGCGATCAGTTTCCTGACCTCCGACCTGATGGCAGGACCGCGTGAGGAGGACGAAATTGTGCGCGTCTTCTCTCGCCCGGCGCTTGCTGAAGAGACGGAATACGCAAGGAGAGTCGCGCCGAAGGCGCTGGACTACTTTGAAAAGACCCTTGGAGTGCGATTCCCCTTGCCTAAGCTGGACTTGGTTGCTCTTCCAGGGTTCAACGCCCCTGTCCCTGCTGAAAACTGGGGACTTGTTTTTTACCGGTATACTTTTTGAATTTAAAAAAGGTGAAAAATTAAAATTTAATAAAATAGAGAGGGTGATATACTAAGCGGAGGAAATGGGTACAACCGCTGGGTCACCTCGTACGTGGTCAACGAACTGGTCATGCAATGGATCGGTAGCTTAGTGACCCCAAATTGGTGGCAGGACGTGTGGATGAACAGGGCCCTTGCTAACTTCCTGGCTAGAGGCGCCGCATTTCAAGTAAGAAAATTTCAGAAATATTAAAAATTAATCAAAGTTAAATTTCCATTAAAATTTATAATAATCTTAATAAACTATTAAATTGAGATAAATAATTAAAAAAATTTAAGTTGGAACCGGCAGAGGAAAAGTACTCTCACGAACAAACCCCTGCAGCTGCCGTTTATGCACTTTACTATGAATATAGCAAGAGAAGCCCCTATGCTCGCCAGCCATCAATGAAGGATATAATTTCTGCTACTAAAGGTGCATATCAAACTTTTTTAATCCTTATTTTATGTTTAACTTTTGCTTATTTCAGCCGAGGTGGTTATCAGAATGCTCAATTTCACAATTTCTCAAAAAACGTTCATGAACACATTGAGAGATTTCATCAATGACAGGTTTTTCAATGTGATTTAAATTTGAGTGAAATTAAATAAAAGTATTTCAATTTAAACAGGAGCTACAGCACCTACACACCAGAGCAGTTCTGGGCCGCAATTGGCAAAAGGGCGCACAGCGAAGGAACCCTGCCTTTGGCGGTCAGTTCGAAGGCCGTTGCCTCTACTTGGATGAACGGCAATAGAATTCCTTTGCTGACTGTTACCCGGGACTACAAAGGAAACATCGATTTATCGCAGGTGCGCCAAAATTAATGAATAAAAACAAACTTCAAATAATATAAATAATTTGAAACTTCTCCAGCGCCAATTCATTAGAGACCCCGGTTTTGATGACGATGAAAATGTGGAAGACGAGTCTCTGTGGTGGATCCCCGTTATTATGGCACCCCAGCGCCCTGACGGCAGGGTGGACATTGTGACGAAAGCCCCTGCCCTGTGGATGCCACCGACTAAGCAGATTGAAAATCTAAGCGATCCAAGCGAACCTGAAAATTTCCTCATTGTTAACCCGGAGGATATCGGTAAATTTTTCGTCCATAAAAATTAATTTATGCCATATTTTTTTTTTAAATCCAGGTCTGTTTCTTGTGAATTATGATACACAAAATTGGAAGCTGCTGGGCAACCACCTTCTGAAGGAGGAAGGCCGCGTCGGGCCGAGTTCAATCCCACCAACCACTCGGGCAAAACTGTTGCACGACTCATTGAATCTGGCCATGGCTGGCGCTCTGGACTTTGACACTGCCTTATCAATGGCCAGATTCCTCAAATTCGAGAGGCAATTTGAACCCTGGCACCCGTTCTTCAACATGGTCGATGTTCTCTCCAAGAGGTTGGACGGTACAGCGGCTGGGAAATATTTCGGGGTAACGCTTCATTTATTATATAAATATTTAAAAATTATTTTCCCGAATAAAGTTATAATTAAAAGTGAATTAAGAAAATAAATCTTGTTATTTTAAAATTTTTATCGTAACTTATGACCACTTTAATTGGATTTCTATATTTTTATGGTTTTTACAATTTTTATTTTATTATAGAGATTTGTTTTGCGTCTGGCGTCTAATTTGGATTCCAGCCTTGGTGAAGCGGGTCTGCCTAATGAGCCGGCGTGGAGAGGAAAATTGAGGAGCAACACTAGGCACATGCTTTGCTCTTTAGGAGAGGAAAATTGCGTAAACAAGGCAAGGGATGTTTTCGCACGATGGGTTAGAAGCAAAACTCCTGACGTCAATATCCCGTAAGACTTTAGAGGTTTAGAAAAATTTGAATTTTCAATTAAAAAAAAATTGTTTCAGCGTTCCAAGCAGAGTTTTCTGCCCTGTGTTTGCGTTTGGCTCAAAAGAGGAGTGGAACTTTGGCTTCGAACGGCTGGGCCATTTGACCGGCGCCAAAGCCTCGGCAGATCGCAACTTCCTCCTCAAGACCCTTGCGGGCTGCCCGAGGGACCCAGCCAAAATTGAAAAGTAGATGAAAAAAAATATATGTTTGTTCCTACCTGTAAATTGTGTTTTCAATGTGAAGGCTGCTGACTGCCAGTCTGTTGAGCAAAGGAACAAAGGGAGAGCCTTTCTCCGAGTCGGACATTCGCTTGATTTTGGGTGAAATTTCCGGCAGACACGCAGGATTCACCGAGTTGTTTAGATTTTTGAAGACCCACTGGAAACAACTAAAAGAGAAGTATTAGACAAATATTAATTAAAGCTATATGAATTACTTAAAAATGTATATAATTAGCTTCCACAGCCGACCCCACTTGTGGGTTGCCCTTGTGACTGCCGCGACCTCTAATTTCAAAACTGAGGGAGAATTGAAAATGGTATTAATCAAATTAATAACTTTTAATTGGTTCAATTTTTGTGTGTTTTAATTTAAGGTTGAGCAATTCATTGAAGAGCACCAGGGTCACTTCGGGTCAGCCGTCGAGGGAGCTCTCCAGAAATCTTTGGAGCGTGTCCAATTTGAAGCTGCCTGGAGCAAGAAGCACCTCGACGAGATCGAGAACTGGCTAGCTGGCCAAATGGCGGATTAATTACAAGCTAATAGCTTAATTTGCAAATTGCATGTAAAAGAAACGAATTTTTGACATAATAGTATAAATATTACGTATATACTTCAAATTTTATTAATAAAATGGTGCACTCAAATTAAAAAGTGTTTTACAAATCACAAATAAATTATAGGGAAGACTGCAAAGAGAGGCCGAATGAAATTCCCCAACCGCGCTTTTCAGCAAAAAATTATAACAGCGCCTGCGCTTTGATTACTTAAAAACACAGGCACGCCCCTATGTGCTTGTGTTGACAAAAACAGAGAAAGACGCTGGCCGAAGAATTTAAGCAGGAAAATATAAATTGTTTTAAATTTAAATAATTTTGTCAGAAACAGAGAAAGGTCTCGTTTGTATTTTTGTGTGTGAGTTATAAAAGGTTTTATATTTAAAAAATTACATAATAACTTGATTTTTTTCTCACCTATGCATAGCTCGAAGAGATTGTGATGTTTTTGTGGGACTATATTGTTAACTGGCTGCGGCCCTGGTTGCTATGGTATTTCCGGCCGCTGATTAAGTGGTTTCTGAGGAAGAGCACCAAGCTTTGTGAACTTCAGAGGATTTGCTATGGCGACATACAGGGTGCTGATCGCACCCTCAACGTGGAAACGTCCCTTCGTCTTTCAAGACGTCCAGAAATCAGAGCCCTTGTCAATATGCTCGATAATGTAAGATAATTTTTTTTTTAATAATTTTTTAATGTACACAATATGTATTTAAATATTTTTTTCAACTCCAACATTTCAGAAAATTAATTATTTCCTCCTTATTTTTATGAACGACAGGTGCACAAAGAAGTCATCTTACGGAGAGATTTTGTTCACTACTCTGTCTACACGGTGCTCGTCCTCAAGAAAATCCACCCCCAAATTCATCCCCAGTTTGCACCTTCTTTTTCTCGGTGCATAGAGCAGTTGCATGGATACGAGACTTTGAAAAGGGACGTCGAGACCCTTCGTCTGCAGCAGTATGATGCGGAAAATGCAGAACACGAAGCCAAGTTGAAGAAACTGTGGGAGGCTCTGATGCCAGACACGCCGCTCGAGTCCAGGGTCACCAAGCAGTGGCAGGACATTGGATTTCAGGCATACGATCTGGAACTTTTCGACAAAGCTTCCATTGAATATGTTGTATTTTTTACAGGGGGACGATCCCAAAACCGATTTCCGAGGAATGGGCATGCTGGGCCTTGAGAATCTTCTGTTTTTTGCCACCGACTACAGTAAGGCTGCTCGCCAGGTGCTTTCTCATTCCCACCACCCAAAGTAAGATTTGCAGGAAAATTCATTACAATCTTTTAGTAATTTGTTGAATGCAATTTCAGCTACGGTTATTGCTTTTCAATAGTCGGCATAAACTTGACCAGCATGGCTTACCACATGCTTAAAGACGGCTCCGCCAAGACCCACATTTTCAACATAGGCTACAGTCTACCTAACATGCGTCTCTTTCACCAGTTGTATTGCTACCTTTTCTACGAGTTTGACAAGTTCTGGATGGAGGAGAAGCCGAGGGACATAATGGAGTTCAATCCAATTAGAGACAAGTTCGAGAAAATTATTCGGCAGAATTTGGCAAAAAGGGACACTCTGTTCAAAATTAATTTGTACATCGACAATATTTGAAATGCTTGTTAAATTTTTAAGTTACGAAGTGTTTATTGCTAATTTTATTTCACGGCTGTGTTTTTGGTTAAATTTTATATTTTTTCTGTTAAAGAGTGCTGTATTTTACCCTGTAGTATTTATATTGCTCTAAGCAATTTTTTGTTATTTTTGTGCCATATGATCTGATTTTATTATAGTTTATAATAATATTAGGATTAAGTGGGTTTGAAGCCTACTTAGGCAATTTTTGTGAGAAATCTACAGCACGCTGCACTGGTGTGATGTAAGTTGGTGCACTGTGATTCAATTTGATTTGATTTTGACTGATTCTGAACATTCTTGTGGCAATATGTAAATTAAAGTGCATTGCACATTTTCACTTTGAAAATATTTGAAAGGAGTAGTTAGTAGTTATTGTTTAAAATATCAAAACACTTCCAACAATATAATTTTATTTTAACAAAAAACAAGAAACTTTGGCAACATAAGAAGTAATCATTCATTTGACGAACTTAAATCAACAACATTTGCACCAAAGTGAGAGAATAAAATGACTGAGCACCACGGAATGCGCACTGCAAAATAGGAATACAGACCAGAATCCAAAGTTGTGTGTGAGAGAAATCATAACACCTCCTTGTACGTTGGTTGCAACGCCGGTCAAAGGTGGCATTTTACCAACCTGTCATAGGAGCAATCTTAATAATTGTTTCCATCTAAATTGTGTCGAGTCATTTCCAGCAATATAAAGCAAAACATTTAAACAAGCTGGCGGTTTAAAATCTGTTGCCGTTTTTGTTTATATGTACGTTAGATTTTAGAATATCAACAAGCTACGTTGAAAATATATTGTAAGATCAACACCTCTTCACAGCTCAAAATTCAAAACTAGCAACATTTTCTGCGATTTTTTCGACAATAAGTACAGATAAAAAACTTCTCAGAAGCTGTTTGTTCGAGTTTAAGAATTGGAAATTGGATGTATGGCAGCATTTTAGCTATTGATTCGTCTTTTTAACGTGACATACAGCGCAATCGCCAGCATCTTAAAAGTGTTTTAAAATAACTTAGGCGCAATTTGAACATCAGAACACTCTTCCATCTAATCAACAAACGGGATATATTGTAATAATTGGGTGCGGTAACCGTTTTGTAATTTTCGAAAGCCCCGATTTCAACATCGAGTTGCTTTTTTGGGAGTAATTTGCGGTTGAGATTCTTGCTAATCCAACTCGGTGGTTTAATTTATTCTATAATCTTCACTCTGTGAACAAAAGATTTCAAAGCTTCTTCAGAGAAGGAGAAGGAGATTTTACTCAAAATGAAATGCATCCATAAAGCAGGCTGATGCGTGGGGCTGATTTTGATCAATCAACTACAAAACTAGCAGATAAAAGGCATGCAGGAAATGAAAATGGTTATCTGGTCGCAAGTGTATATTATGATACCAAACATAAATCAAACAATAAAATGGGTCAAATAGATTAAAAATTTCAAATTCTAAAATACATTCTACATATAAATGCATGCAATTTAACAACAAAAATACATAGGATTCTTTATAGTTTGTAAATGAGTGGTCAACAAAATGGTAACATTATAAATTCAAACAACAACAACCATAAAATCACTGGCAAATGGGATCTAAAACAATATAAAAAAATATCCGAAATAATAAATCTACTTTACACCAAAGAATCTTGACCGATTTGCCAGTGAATTTTTAATCAATGAACCAACTTACCAAAATATGACCTACTTTAGCTACTATAGTGTGATTTGGTCACACTAATACATCCTAGAAAGCATACACAAAAAGGCAGATTTTGAGTACATGGAATTAATTTTGTGAAGAGTCGGCAATTATGTGAAGCCACAATTTCGTTTACAAAGTTGCATGCCTTCAAAATTTAAACCAGTGGCAACACAGAAAATTCATTAAGTACTACAAAGGGGCAAGCTGATTGGCTGTACATGATAGTGAAAAAGCGAGTTTTATAATACACAAATTGTATGCGGTCTTGTACTGTGGCAATTGAGGTGAACTTGTACTTCGACAAGTTTTATGAATGATTCTATTCTGGGAATGTGACTCGACAAAATCTCTCTTCAATAGAGAATCAGAGAATGGATCTTTTGATTTGCATGAGAAATACTTACATGTGCTCTGGGTGCTGACGAATGCAATCCACCATTTGTTCAGGAGGAAGTTCACCGATGCAGATTTTGTGAATGGCAGTGAAGAGTGGGAACCTAAACAGTTTTGAAATGAAATAAAAAAATCATTAAATAATATGGAAAATTTTACCTGTCCTCCATTCCTTTGGATTTCAGCATGTAGTTGACCTCCTCGGCAGTGAATGGACCCTGAAGTTTCTGGCCATTCAACATTTCATCTTCCAGTTCTTTGATGGTCTGGAAAATTCTTATTGCAATCTTCAATTTGCATTTAAATTTTTTTACTCGGTACCTTTTTTGTGCGAACAAATGCTTCAGAGACTTTCCTATTTCTGCCTCCGTAGCAGGTGGTGATCAAGTCAGCAACTCCGCAGCTTTCGAAGAAGGTGGCCAACTTCGAGCCAGGGTAAAAGACTTCAGCAAACTTGATCATTTCCATCAGGCCAAGTCGAATGACAGCTGCCTTGGTGTTGTCGCCCAGTCCGAGCCCGTCAACAAATCCAGCACCGCAGGCAACAATGTTCTGGAATTTTATTTTCAAATTTTAGAATAACTTGCAGCACAGAGATAATTAGCTGGCAACACTGGAGCCTGTTTGATTTCAGATGCAGCGTAATTGCATCTGCACACCAACTGTGTGTCACATGCATCCTGTTTGGCTTGCAATTACATGATGTTTAGCTCAGCAATTTAACACGAGCTCAAAATCGTAACAATGAAAAAAAAAACTGCTTTTCACTTGTGTATGTATTTTTTCAAGCTGCGACAGAATAATAAATTTTTTTTCAAAGGAACAAAATTTTATTAATATTTTTTTTTTTTTTAAATTTGCATACCTTAAGGGCGCCGCACACCTCCACTGTCTCAACGTCGTCAACAACGACTACCCGGAAGTAATCAGTCTGGATGATGTCCCTGAACAGGGCACCAGCTACTTTGTCCTTGCAGCCTATTTAAAAGATAAAATTTTTATCCAATATTTAGTAGTGATTTTATTTAATTAAATTTGAACATCATTCTCACCAATGGTGGTTTCACAGAACATCTCGTTGGCAACCTCAGGGGCCAAGTTGGCTCCCATGAGCACGCTGACGGGAATGCTCAGCAAGTTCTGGATGATCCCCGAAATAAGCTGGATGCCGCCACCTTCAGCTTTGTCAAAGCCCTTGATCAGGGAGAGGCCGACGGCCGTTGACTTGATGTTGCCCACCATGGCTTTGCAAAGGCCACCGACAAACTGGTGGGGCACGACAAAAATAAGGACATCGGCATCTTTCGCCGCTTCGACAATGTCGGGAATTGCGATCTGAAAAAAAGAGACAAATTTTTAAAAATTAAAAAGGTATTGGAAAGACACTCAAACCTGATTGGGTTATTATTATTTATTGTGTACATTCTTATTATTTATTTATCTGAAGATGTTGTTGCTCAAAATTTGATAGTAAAATTTGGTAAATTTACACAGCTGTGAGTACACTTGATAATACTTCCAATATTATTTTCTAAAATACAAAAATATGATAACCAAAGATAACATCGACTTTAAGAGCTGTAAAAATAGGTTTAAACGCTATAATTATATTAAATACATTTTCAAAAATATTAAAATGGAAAATAACTTCCAACAATTATGCTGTGCAGTTTAAATCAATCTTCATCAATCAGGAGTAAATTTTCTTTCAATCAAACAATTCATTTTACAGCAGTTAAATCATCACAAAGAGCAAAAGCCTCGTCCAATTAGTGCAATGTTGCAACATTGACATCAGATTTAATTGAATTTCTTTGACTGCCCTTGACAGTGCGCTCATCTCGGTGCGCAGGGTAAAGGCGCCAAGGTCACCAACCAACACGATTCGCAAATAGCAAAGTTCTCTCTCTGCTGTTATCTGCCCTTTTTTAATCGCAGCAGCTCAAAAGAAAGAAAAGATAGGAAGAGCTATGATAATTACCACATTGGCAGGCAGCTTGTGGCCGGGCAGGTACTTGACATTCTCATGCGTCTCGTTGATGATCTCGGTCAACTTTTTGCCATCGATTATCTCCTCGTGCACATGCATGGTCACTCGGTTGTCCAAGTATGCATGCTTCTGCACATTGTTGCCCACAATTTTGGCGATGGCAGAGCCCCTGAAAGAGATAGACAAGACAAACAAAAATTAAAATTGTGATATTTCTTACAAAATTAAAAATAAATCCTTGATTTTATGATAAATAATTTAATTTGATTTGTAAATATTGAAAAGAAAAGAAATTTCTGTTTTTAAGTAACAAAGATTCCTAATAAATAATTCATTATTAAAAGAAACTGAGACATTAATTAAATTTTATTCAGTTGCAATTATGTTGACTCGTCAACTAGAACAAAGTAAAATTTGATGGCAAAAACTTTCACCAGTGAAAATTGAGCCCGCGGGTAGCTTCATTTGAATATTATTTAAATGTCTAATTAGGCTTTGCTTCAAAAAGCACGTTCGGCTGATGGACAGGGTAATACAGATTCCGTTCAAACCGTCACAGCTTTCTACAAGTCCAACAAATTATTGAACATTAAAAATGCAAGCACAAAGGCCAGAGAAAGCTCTTGCGATGATTTTGCAAATTTATTAAAAAAGAAAATTAAATATTGCTGAAAATAAAAATACAATTATTGTACTGATCATTTTTTTTCTTTTTATATTGAAAGCAACAATGTTGAAAGGTTTATAATTTTGATGTTTATGAAATACTAGGGTGTTTGTCACTCTGACCAAAATATTGTTGGTTTGGCAATCCGTAGAAGGAATTCTTTTCACGTTACAAAATAGCCGGCCAGTGGCTTCATCCACCGAGTTCGATAATATTTGAGCCAGATACCCACTTTGTTATTGCAGCTTGCACACCAAGCACAGAAAAGAAGAAGTGGTGCGGTGCACTCGATAATACTCGCCCTATATATTAGAATAAAGGCTAACGTTCATATACAAAAAGTTGGTTTAAACGTTGAGAAATTCTAGCAGCATATTATAATAAAAAATTAAAAATAAAGAGAAGAAAAAAAATTAAAAAATAATAATAATAAGAAACCAGCAAAGATAAACACTAAAATCAAATTTAAATTTATTAATAAATTTTTCTCGGAATTTTCATTTATTTTTAATTTTCTGGTAAGTTTTGAACCAGAGGGTGTGTTTTAATTGTCTCAGGTGTGGCCGGTGTTACCAAAGAATTTTATCAACTTTTCAAGCAGGTTATGTTGTTGAATTGAACCGGCCAACGACCGTAGAGAAATTTATATATAAATTCCCGGCCAGAATTTTATTTGGAACCGAGTTATAATGCGAAATCGGCTGTAAAACGGACGGGGCGGCCCGCGTGAAGACTGGACCAAAATAGAAAAAGAGCCAGAGTCGTCCGCAAAGTCCTTCGACAATGTCAAAAGTGCAGTGTGTCCGGCGGCGTCCCCGATTCGGACAATTATTCTGTCTGAAAACTTACCAGTTGCCTGAGCCGACGATGCACACTTTCTTGGTTTCAGACATCCTCACGCTTGCCGATGAACGGTTGAAATGAAGAGCGACAGTGGTGTTTCGATGGCAATTTTCATGCCATAACCCTTGCACTTTGCTCCGAGCAGAAACACCACAAAAGCCACGCCCCCCTGACGAACGGAGTTTGCGCAAGGCAGTGGCGCCAAGATTATGCACAAGTCCGAGTTGCATTGCAGTCAAAATCACTTTCTTTTCAATGATCTCGGTTTAAAAATACATTTTGGCGTGTATGCCGCGCACAGAAATTTAAATCTGCTAATTTGTGAAGCTTTTATTAAGTGTATAATATACATATTTTTAAATTAAAAAATTTAATTTAATCATTTTCTCGTTAAAAAAAAATGTAATTCTATATCTTATAGGCTTGATTTCAATATAAAATCTGAACTACTCCGAACAAGTGTATAAAAATGCAATTATTTAAAAAAATTAACACTCAATTAAAAAATTCTGACAGCGTCTATTATTTAAACGCATTTTTATTAATATTATATAATTATTTTTTAAATTTATTTAAAAAAAACTCTATTTTTAAGTATTTTTTAATTAATTTTCAAAAGAAAATAAGGATTGTGTTGTGCCATTTTGTGTTACAAAAGGTCATCACTGCAGTTTCTGAGAGTTGCATAAAAATCAGCAGTCTTGTGTGCGCAAAAGCAAACACCGTGTGTATATGACTGCTGGCAAAAAATCAATACACCCCTATATATGCTGCATATGATTGTGATGTTTGATGGGGGTCGAGTGCATTAAATGAAACAACCTTGAGCGCATGGTGCAAATTCAGAACTGATTGACAGGGAGAACCATTAAATAATCTGAAGCCACTTAACGACCACTTTTGATTTCGACACACAATTGAAAATAACTCATCTTGGCTGGGCACTATTTGGAGAGGTATATTTTTTATAGCTCATACTTCTTTTCACGGGAATTCAGAAAAAAGATTGAACGCGATGCCGAAAATTGTGCAGCTTGAAGTTCAGGGTCTGTTCACAAAGATTTTAGGTCGGAAATATACTCGCTATTTCGTAATGGACGTGAAATTATTCCACTTCAAAGTCTGGAAACTGCTCGACGAGTGACGTGCTGTGTCTATTTTTGCTCCCAACTGCGTAAAGACAGCTCACAAAACTCTATAATATTCATCCGAGTTCACGGGAAGCTGTATGATGGAATAGTAGAGATAATAATTAATAATAAATATAAAACATATAATTTTAAAGAAAGGGTTTTTTAAATAAATAAATAAACAATTCATTTGAGGTGACCTCTTATATTTGAATTTGTTCACTTCTGACAAAATGTTGTGCATTTCCCATGACATAATTAAATTTATCTTGACGTACTTAAACTGTATTCAGTAATTTATTAAAAGGGACGAGTTTCTCCAATTAAATTTTCCATTCACACAAAAGGAGTAATGGAGCTGAGACTTTTTTCTTCTTTAAATCAAATAATAGCACTTTTTCATCTTCTTACAACTTAATACACAGGTAATTAAAATACATACAAGGACGTATATATAATCAAAAATTTACAGCAGCCACCGATTTCAGGGTAAACAGTCCTGTGCCTGTTAAAACTAATAATTTATTTACGCATACATATCTTTTGTTCAACGTCACTTTTACCGAAAAAAAAACTGAATATTTTTCAAATAAAATATCTTGGACAGAAAAGTCCTACACGACTATAGACATTTTCGGGATAAATATAAATCATAAATCGAGAGCGTGTGTTCGCAAGTAAAAATTACATAAAAATGGACTCATAAATATGTAAACATTTGCTCTCTACGCCAGTGAATAAATAAAATTTCCAACTCAGAAAACTCCTATGATAGTACAAGGTCCACCAAACATTTTTGCATCACATACTGAATAATAACAGAATGAAGTTTTCACGGTAAATGGCTCGCTCGCGTTCTTCTTCGTTCTCCGACTAGGGGAATTTATAAATGCAGGTGTTCGACAAAATCCATCTTCGGCCACTTAACATGAAAACATCAGTGACTGGGCTCGCGCGCACTCTTTCTTACTTTTCCGATTTTTTCGCATTCAGCTCTTTTTAACAAAATAAAAATCTGTGAGAAACACTCTTTTTGACACTCAATTCTTGAATACCGACAGTGCATTTTTTTTTCTTAAATTCAGCGTTCTGAATCAATGCGGGCAGTGAGTCAGGTAAAGTGTAGTGTTGTACAACAAGCACAAAGAAGAGCGGAGGCAGACGCGCGTCTTCACTCTCTTTCTCAGCAGCGCGACACTGATCCAATCAAAGCATCATATCTCAATTTAACCTCCATTTTTTTCTTGCTTGGCTTTTATGTTTGTCTAAGGCTAGGGATTTTTTAAGATGAACAACTACGAAGCTTTCCAGCGGCGGAAGAAGTTTGTTTCCTTCCAGCGAAGCGAATGCACTTTTTCTTTTTGATAGTTTGCTCCAATCAACAAGCAAGCGACTAACTTTTTTATATATGAGTGGCGTTGGGAGTAATTTTCATAGGTTGGCGAATATAGGCTAATTTTCAAACGACTTCTTTGAAGTCAGATAACCGATGAGGAGGTTACGAGACAGACGACCAGTGCGTCGCAGTCGGTCTGAAACAAAAGAGCAAATTGCAGGTGTGAGTCTTCCGAGTAGAAGCTGAAAATTTAGAATTAAAGGAAGGCAAAGAATGCTAAACCATATCAACATCATGGGTTCGTTCTTTCATTCAAGTTTCAAATACTGAAGTGTTCTTGAATTTGAAATGCAGTGTGCGAGGTGCAAGTGGAAACTTTAAAAAAATTTAACTTGCGATTCAATGTTTTGTATAAAAAGATGTTACAAATTGCTAAATGAGTGTAAAATTGAACAGAATTCTATGATTCTGCCCAACATTATATCTGTTTGGATTTTTATTTACTATATTAAACTCCAGTAAAAATTATAAGTTTACAACGGTTAAATCTAAATTGCAAGACAAAATTCTAAAATAAAAATGTAACAATACTATAAGCCGCTACTAAAAATTACTTAAAATGTTTAAAATAGCATATTGTTTAAGAATTTGTTTTAAATAATTGTGGAGAGACAAGAAAAATTAAAATCAGGTTTATTTAGACTAAAAAATTGTTTAAAACTTTTGATGCACTGCAATAACAAGGCATTACAAGTGCAATCGTTTGTTCCAAGAGCACCATTTGAGAACAAATAAATAGGCCATGCAACACTCGCTCTGCGAGTGCCAACGGTGTGCTTGCTTGTGTTCAAAGCCTGCGATTGGCCTGACAAGAAGCATTCGCTTGAATGCTAAACCATCACTGTGCACCGACAACATAGACAAGATTTACAATGTATTTATTTGTTTCATCGTGAGGCAATCAAGTGATTGATTAAGTAGTGTGATTTACGCAAGTCTGGCACAGTGCAGCTGAAAACGAGACGACAAAAAAGAAGACACGAGAGAATCAAATCCAATAAGCTTACTTAATTAAGAAACAAATCAACCGAGAGTGTGTGTGGTGTGAGAAAATAATTATTTTCTAATAATAGTTGTATACGTGGAATAACAAATTATCAAATCCGCGCCCAGATCCAATTTGGACAAGCTGTGTACAAAAATGAGAGCGACACCAAATAAGAAAGGCGAAAAACAGACAAAACATGAAAAAAGCAAAAACCTTCACTTCAAATTGAAAAAGATTAAAGAATTTGGGATTAAAATTAATTTTAAGTGAAAGTACTTGCAGAAGTAATGAAAGAAACAGATGTGAGAGGGTGTGTGCGTGATATAATTTTGATTTGTTTTTTCATTTTATCTTTTGCCCCCCTAAGCATGCAGTTACTCAGGCCATGCACCTACACGAACCCAATTTTTTTTTTGCAACTGGCAAAACACTCAGGACGAGAAATTAGCCACAGTCATAGTGATAATTACAAACACGTCATATATATATAAACAAGTGAGGAATATATAGAAGAGAGAGGGCTACCTACGAGTGTTCATCGCACTACGAGCTTGCTGCCCCCACGCGTGTCAGGCGGACTGCAAACACAGAATTACATTCAGAACAAATGTCTTCCAAGTGGCCCTCACTCCCTAGCTAATTTATTTCAATTTGCTCGCGGCCCGCAGTGCAGTGACTAGCAGTTTACACCCCGAAGGCTGGAGTCCAGCCAATTTATGCAACCGTAATTGCCAATTAACACCCTCCATCAAATTCCGACTAACTGCACCGCGAGCACGAGAGGCCTATCTAGTGAGATGAGCAAGTAAACCACTTTAATTACACACAACCTCCGATTCAATTTTGAAGTATTTTAGGTTATTCATGTTATTTTACATTTTAATAAAAATATTCAATTTTAATTTGATGATGTAATTATTTTCCAAATGATATTTGTATTATTATTTTACTTACCCCAATGATATGATCATTAATTGGCGGACAATGTTATTTTGCATGTGTTTGAATAGAAAAAAAACAGGACATTAAAAAATTATGACGATACTGCCACTTTTAGCGCTTCGTTACAAATTTCAGTGGTTGTTTGTAAATTTAAAATGGTTTACTTTGATCGATTAGCCCACAAAAGCAAAAACCATGCTGGTTACGCGGTCGGTCTCGAAAATCACAAAACTGGCGGTTAATCAGTGAGAGATCAAACAATTCATGGAAAAATAGGTAATACTGCACAAAAACGATGCTGGTTAATGCACGACCTGAAAAGGTTAACTAATCATAGTTAGCGTTGGCTTAAAGTATTTTAGCTGGCAGGTTAATCAATCAAAAGTACACACAATTTATTTACACAGCATGAATTAGACACAACGAGATAGAGATAACTACTGCGGGGTGAGCTTGAAAACACTCGCTTTCCAGCTAGCTGATTTCAGAGTTGTTTAATAATGCACGAACGAAGCCAAAATAAAAATGAATCCAAAATCCAAAATTCGCATTTGCGAGGTGATCAAAAATCCTCAGCAAAAAAAGAGATAAAAATGCCTTGGGTGGAGGAGTTGATGAGATTTGATCAGTATGGAAGGTGGCACACTAGATACTGAGATGAGAGAGAAAATGAAAACCAAAGAAAATAAAGAATAGGAGGGCAAAAAATAAGTGAGTGACGGCTTCAACGGGGTTTGCGAAATTACCTGCTGATTCTTTTTTTTATAATTTTGGCAATATACGGGTGACAAATGAGGGGTTTTTTTGTAAAAGAGAGACTAATTAGCACAAAGAGAGTGTGAGATCAGCGCGGCCGGTTGGTTCAGTTGGCGGCCGCGGGGGGATCGACAGGGGTGGGTGGGTTTTGGGCCTCGAGGTTAGCGACTAATTTGGAAGGGACTTCGGAGATTGGGGGCAGGGACGGTTGTGAAGCAGCGCCAAGCACGGGTGAAATGGCACCACTACGTTGTGATGCGGCCGGTGTTACTGCCCCACTGCGTGGAGGCAAAGCTACACGAGAAAATAAGAACAGAAGGCTTCAGTTAAAAAAATTAACCACTTAAGGGCCTTAATTCTAACAAATAGCCCCGTAATATATTGCTTATTGTACTAAAAATTTATGAATAGTTGTGTGCCGTCGACTATAAATATGAAATAATTTGCGAGTGTTCCATGCCTGGAGACAAGTCGGATGCTGTGACAGTGAAATTTGGAAATGTTGATTAAAACGCAGGATTAATTTCACCACAAAATCCGACGAATCACCAAAAAGATGGATTAGATAGCATTAGTAAAGCATTTAAATAAAAGAAAAGTAAAAAAAGAGAAAGAATGAAAATTAATTAAATGTAATGTAGCAGTGTGATAGTGGGTCCAGATTAATGTTAAAAGATGAAAAGCTGCAAAATTAGAGTGATTTCTAACAGGAAAGGTTTTTGATTTGCTTTAATATTTTTAAACAATGCTTTAAGAAGTGAAGTCAAAAAAGGCAAGGCATTTTTGATAGCTTTTGCAAATTTGTATTCGCTTTTTAAATCCATTTGCTATTTAATTTTTTTATAGATAAAAAAAATGCAATTATTAAATTATTTCAAACCTCAAAGAGAATCGGACAGTGGTTGATCCGCTTATTATATATATATTACATACGAGATAGGCAAACTGTCCATTGTATATTAAGGAAGTTGAAATTACTTGTACGTGTTTTTGCTGCGGAGCGTGTTATAGAAGTAAGACTGCAACCTTAGAGTGATGTCTTTGCGAACTGTAAGACACAAGACAAACGGACAATATTGCTTGTCAGACAGAAGTATAACTCGGAAAATACAGGACAAATAAAAAAATTTCTATTCAGATATAGGGGGTGGATGACAGGTGCTAGTCCTAAATGGCTGGAGCTGCAGAACAAAAATTTCACCACACAAGAGCACAGCAGGCAAGGGGAAAATGATTGAAAACACACGATGGTGGTCCTCGCAGTGGGATTTCAAACATTTTCGCAAAAGTGAAAAAAGAACACAAAACATTTTTTTTCAGTATGGGAAAATAAATTATGGAACTTTACAAGTATAGATTGAGTGAGTGTTGATCAATGATTAATTCGAACTTACTTAAGACACGATCTGAAATGAATCGGTACCAAGACGAATCTCGAACTTTGCCTCCCTATCTGTCCGCCCTTTTGCAATCAGAAACACACAAAAGCAAAAGATAGAGAAAGAGCAAAGAAGATCAAATGTTTTTCCTTTAAAATTTAGTTTTATTTTTTTATATTTTGGTTTTTAGTTCTTGGTTTTCATGCATCTATTTTAATTCACAATTTTAACAATAATGGTTTTAGAGGTGTCGCATGTTCAATTAGGACTTTGATTGGAATGTTAATTTGTGGTGCAGTCGAGATGCAAATTTTTCATAATAGAAACTAAAATAATGCACACGAGGGTGATGTCCCTGTTTACTGTGGATCATGCAAAGGATTTTACTTAAAATGGAATGAACACATGAACAGAAATGGAAATACGTGTAGTGATTTAAAACATAGTTGAGATTGCAGCTCATTGTTGAACAATTTTAAATTAGAATTAATTATATACGCCTTGATTTAATATTTATTTAGATAATTTAGAAGCCTATCAGATATTTATTGATTTAATTTCAAAATCATCAAATTATTTATCTAGGATTTTGGAATGGTAGTTTTATAATTTTATAATTTTAGTGAAATTAAGTTTTTATAGTGTTCATGAAGAAACCAACATAAATGTGTGTTTGTGTGTAAACTATAAAATTATAATAGAGACGAAGACAAAAATGAAAGACGTCAATGCGGCAGACACTATCACAGTTAAAAAAACGAGATCACTCTCTAGGTAATTGAAAAATTAAGGATCCACAATACAGGTTGTTCTAAACAGGAAGCTGCAAAAATCAAATTCCACCATACTCTGTATTGGACCAGCTGAGAGTCTGCAACTTGAATTCAAGCAGAAACAATGATGCCCTTTCCTGCCCAGCCAGCTGATCTTTCCTTGGCAACTGTTTGAATTAGAAGAAGCAAAGTTAAAAGGTCTGCATCCAGCCTCGATTCCAGTGCCAGATGAATTTTCCCGAAAGCTGGATTGGGACTTTTTTTAACTTATTTACAGCAAACTTTACAATTTAAAACAGCTCCTCTCCAGGTCCTACACAGAAAAATAAATTGCAACCGTATAAAAAGTTTATCAGTCTTAAACTAATCGCTCTGGAAAGTTTTCTGCATGAGAATGTTCTGCATTAAGATTTTCATCAATTTTTAAAATAAAAAGGCAAAGATTCCTTTTAAAAATACTTACTACGGTCAAGGTTTCTTTGAAGGTGAGCTGCAACCCTGTGGCGTGCGTCATTGTACTCCAAGTGGAGTCCCAATCGCAACAGAGAGAAGTTCTGTTCCACAATCTCCGTAATCTGCATTTCAATTTTATTTCCAAGCACTTGGGATCTCTGAAAATTTTCAATATTACTATTAAAATATTAAGTTTTTCATTTTTTTATAAGTACCTGGTTAGTACCACGGAATTCTTCCACAGACTTAGTGGCTAGTAGTGCTTTGAGAAGGGTGACCATCACAGCCGGGCTGATGAAATTGGTCTCAACGCTGCAAATTATTCAATCATCATCAAATGCTAATCACCGAACAAGTCCGCAGAATGTGTGTAATGCAAATAATGACTTAAAGATGTTTACAGCTCCCGTTACGAAACTGCAAATAGCAGGCTGACGGCCAAGAGCTTTTGCTCAATGGCAATTTGTTTAATCTATTTGCAGTTTGGATGCAAAACAGAGTTGCACCGAAGTCTTAAATTCAACTGCATTTTAGCCCCTATGTGCGCACTTTACAATAGAAGTGTGTGAAATTGACCAAATAAACAGGACTATTATACTCACTTGAGCACACGCAATGTGCTGTTTTTCTCAAGCGCGTCAGCCAACAAGAGGGCAGTGCGGTCCATCAGGCCCGTGTTGGTCAGGCTGAGGCTTTCCAAATGGGTGTTAGAGGCCAACGCCTCAAACAGCTGCGTGAACTTTTCATCAGAAATGTTCTGAAAAAATTTCAATTAATATGGTAATTTCAAAAGTAATTGATTTTTTTTTAACAAAAATTGATGGATTAAAAAGTGAGTTACTTCTCTGGTGAAAGCAAAGATAAAAGATTTTTATAATTTCAAATCTTGAATATTTAAATTAAAATTAATTATTCTGCAAACCTTAATGTTATTCCAGTTAACGTCCTTGAGGGTGTGGTCATCTTCCTTCACCCTCTTGATGGTTTCATCAGGGTTAGTGAGGTTGGGTGGCTCGTTGGGGAATGCTTTTGGCTGCGAGGCCTTTGTGACGCCGTCCCAACCCATACCAACTGGCTGACCCTTGTTTAGGAGTGATGCGTGGTACTGGTCTTGGTTCATCATCGAGTGGAAGCCGAGGATAGCTGAATAGCACAGATTATTAGATGTGAGAGAAGAAAAGAAATTTAAAAAAAGTTACCGGCCAAATCGATGATCTCCTCCTGAGACGCGCCACTGAGAGCAGTTTCGTACTCATCACCCAAGTCAATGCCAATTTGCTCCTCGAGTTCGGCTGTTTTCTCGCACTTTGGTGCCACCCACTTAAAAACATTACATAGCAAAAATAAATATGTGCAATTGGAAATTCAAAAGATTAAGATATTTAAAGAAAAATCAATTAATTATCAAAAAAGTCTTTTTGGAATTTTTTCCTACCTTCTTTCCTCGAACTGTGCCAGCAACAAATGGCTGAGCTTCTGGTTTGTCGGGCGTTTCCAATGCCTGTTTGTTGATGTGGTCGATCAACTTGTGTCTGTCCAAGGGACCGGTGGGCTCTTTTTCACAAAAGTATCCACACCTCAATGACGGAGGCATTGTGTTGTCCTAAATGGCGAACAAATATATTGGTAATGAATTACAAAAATAATGCAAGTAAAATAAAATTTTATAGTAAATTGCAAAAATTATTGCTAACGGACAAAGACATTGAAAAATTAATTCATTGATCGTTTTGAAATATTACAACGTTTAAGTAAGATAAATTGTTGAGTATTCAATTTCGTAATCACAAATATTTAGTTAAAATATTTATTCACTCACATCAGGATCGACTTCCCGAGACAACATGTTGATCTCCTCAGACGACAACTGGGCGAGCAGCTCGTCCATGTCCATCTCGTTGTACTCAGCCATCTCTTTGGTGTCCATTCTTTGCAAGGCAGCCTTACTACTTGAAGTCATGGTTTTGGTTGTCGACGATTTCTGCAACAAGCGTGGAAAATTAAACAAAAATGAATCACCTCGCCGAGCAATTTGTAATTTTTAGAGCGTTCAAAAACAGCCCATTCATTAACTTGACGCGCGCGCGGTCAGCGTTTGTCTAGCTTGGCTTGAAATTCCAAGTTCAAGAGCTGAATTAAACTGTTTCCACAACTTGAAACGCTTGTTTAACTAACCACTCGGCAGAGCTAAATGGCTGTGGATTGAACAGTAAAAAGAAGCACTCAAATGGGATGAAAGCATCGGGCGCGCTTTCCAAGGTTGGCGCGGCTCTCGGATCAATTGCGCAATTATTCCGCAGATGGTCATTGTTGTTGTTGCTCAATGACAAGGTACGCGAATGTCACACTTCCACAGCTGCTCAAACATTCTTCCCAACTAATTTGGCTTGACAAACGTTGTGAAAATGGACGCAGTTGCCAAAAAGAGCAAAACGGATGACACTGAATTTCGCTGCCATAATTTTCTTTCATAAAAGGATAGCAACTTACTGCACATTGACGCTGATTACCTTAATTTTTCTTGTCAAAAATTTTAATACAATCAAATACAATGACAAATTATTGATAACTCAAAATTTTTTTGGTATTTTCGTTGATAATTAAAAAGAAAGTCTGCTACATGGGAATAATTTAATTATTATCCAGGTTTTAAATGACTCTTTCTTACAAACCTACTATTGTAGTAATGACCTTGTACGAATATATCAAGGAAAAATTAATCTAAAATAAATTAATTTTTTTTTTTATGAAAAAAAAACTTCTGATTAGAAATTTAGCTAAATCTTTAGCCTCAACAAAATTTCTAGCAAAGAAGATTAGACATTCAGTTTTTCATCAGAATTTGAAAATGTTTTAAGAGGAAAATTAAACTATTCCCAAAACTTAATTTTTATTACATGAAAATATATTGATTATATTTTTACTTTTTAGAAAAAAAATATGAAAATGCATCTTTATTTATATCATAAATCATTTTAGAGCAATATTGAGATTTTTGTCAACGCAGAACGCCAATGAAATAATAATAAAATGGACAGTAAAATAAAAGAAACATAAATGAAGCAAGCAAAAGCTATTCAAGAAAATTATAAATTGAACCCTTACGCAAAATAAGACTTCGCTGACTTCAGATCAAACTAATCCCTGCAACTTTTATGTTTCACTAAGCCCAGAGCAGAGCAATATTAATTATCTTTGCGAAGTACGCATTGGTTTTAGTTTTAAGTCGCAAAAGAGAATAAAATTTTTATCTAAGAATCTCAAGTCCTGTTTGTGTAAATAAGCCAGAGCTCAAAATATCAGTCCCTTGCAAGCCACCCAGATTAAAAGGAAAAAATAATACACTTGCCGCAATGAGGTTTTCCCTTATCACGGTGGGGTGACGTAATTTGCAGTCGGCAAGTTGAAAAGCATGTGACTCAGTACTTGAGTTGAGTGCACTTTGAAAAAAAAATCGATGGATGCGTGAGCTGCCGTTGTTTAAATAATTCTGGGGAGGAAAGGGTTCGGCAAATTGTATGTTCGGATCGATCGAACTGGCGAGACAGAAAGAAAACGAGAGAAGCAAGTCAAAGAGATTCTCAATGACCTTAGGCACAAAGAACTTGGGCCAAATGACCGATTATTTAATTTTCGTGACCTCAATATTTAAGGAGGAGTTTTGCAATGCATTTGCGGCGAGTGTGTTTGTGGGGGAGACTCCCGTCCGAATGTCAACGTCGTTGTTTCGCGACTCTTTTGGCCTGGAATTCTTTCTTTGACCGGTCAAATTGTGCGTGGGTAGGTAAAAAATGATGCTAGGTATTTGAAAATGCGATTGGTTACGATATGAAGCAAATATACTCACTAATATTGACGCAATTCGCGAGACAATTGTATTCCTGCCGACCCACGCCCACTTTTGTTACTGACTGACATCGGGCGTGTGACGTCATACGTCATTTCGATCACTGTGCAGGTGGTTCAATTTTATGACCATAGATGGCAGTTTTATATATAAAACTAAATTTGATTTATTATAAAAAAGGTAAAAATCAGGGTACAAATACAAGAAATTTCTATTACAATTATTTTTAAAAATTTGGTTAAACATTAAAAAAAATTCTCAAAATAATTTAAATCTTAAATTTGAATAACAGTGTCTTCTTTAATCTTATTTGGATAATTTGTTTTTCAAATTAAATATTTTTGTTGTTGTTTATTTGTCCACAGTCCACATTTACACAAATACATTGTTTACATTCAATTGAAGAAAACAATTTATTTTAAAAAAAGAATTGTTGATAAAACGGCACCACCATGAATTGCAAATATTTTGCTAAAACTTTAGAGATCAAAAAGATCCCATCAGCCGCATTATTTACTATAAATATTTATATCTTCAATAATTATAAATTTTTCGTACCTTAAGGATTTTAAACAACTTTCTAGACTGTGCTGAATTAAGACTAACTCGTAAAATACATTATTTTCAATAAAAATAAATTTTAATAAATCTAAAGAAGAATGATATGTATATTTTTAGCTGTAGTTTCTTCGGCATATTCATATGAGGTGCATAAAGTTTGAAGTTGCATTTCGCAATTAATATGCACTCTATAATTAGAGCCGGCTAGCGAGTGGCCATTTATTAAAAGACTAAAGGGAATTATTTTTTTCCACGCTTGCGGCGCTTTCAGAAGAAACTGACTAATTAATTGGCCCGTTAGCTCTTCAAATGCAATTCCACAAACACAGGCTCTCTGCGTGAAAAACAATTTCGCACCCCCGTCCGTCGGCCGAGAGTTCGCAAGGTTGCCTCGAGGGCGGAGTGGGGACGTCGGGGGGACGAGGGGGCGCCAAGAATAACCTTGGCTGGGCCACAGCCAAGGGCCTATACTAGGCGATCTTGCCATGGTGGCCGTAAGTGATTATTTATACCTCGCACTGGCCACCCCTTGCAGAATATACATCCGCGAGCTCTCAGTCCTTTGTCTCGCTTCAACCACTATTGTCTTTGGGAATTTTTATTTGCACTAATTATTCAAAATAAAAATTACACCAAATTTTTTTGGAAATCACATTTAAATTGAAAAAAAAAATAAAACAAAAGGCATAATATGGGGTTAGGCAACTGATAGGCACAAAGCGGAGATGATAATTCTTCTTTGTTTTTTATTTAATGATATGAAATATGAGAGATAATGTAAATCAGATTTAAGTATTTAAAAAAAATCCTGAAAAACTTTAAAAAATAATTGAGTGATCATAGGTCAGGGCAATTTCAGTTTTTGCATTTAATAATTGAAATGTTAAATTCTTGACCTTTACCAAGAAATCTTTGAATGTCGTCCTGCTAGATGTTTAAAAATGTCTTGAAAAATTGGTGGAAAGTTTGTTATATCTTAATAATACATTAATGTTCTTCAAAATAAAATGGTTGGCGATTATTTATTTTTTCATTAAAAAGTATTTGTTGCAATGATTAATAACCGTCTGATTCATATAATTTTTAATATTAATAAAGACGGTAATTTTTTAATAGATGGGTTGTCACGTATCATGGAAACTGAATTCATCTTACTTTTTCAAGAAGATGATTTCTTCTCCTTTCGCATTAATTAATCTTTGTTTGTGCATGACGTCTCAAAGTCATCGCAGAGATTGATTTCATTTTTAGAGAGAGTGGGTAGTGGAATCCGAAGTGTCGCGCGAACTACTCCTCTGATAAATTATCCCACAGAAAAAGATAATTACTTCCCCATTCATCACGGCCTGCGCGAACATCACAAGATCTTTCGCCTTGGGGCGTTTTTCTACGCAAAGTCAACTTGACAGTCTTAGCCCTCGGCGCGCGAAACCGATATTCAGAGTTGATATTGCCGGCAGTTAATTTCAGTCAAAGGTCACGCTTTGATCGAAAATAAACCCCTTGAGCCCGCCGCGTCCGGCTGCTAAAAATCCTCCCGTTCCGCTCGGACGTCTCTCTGATAATTTTTATTTTCAAAATCAATATACAGCTCGGCAATTGGCACGCTCTCTGGCCGCTGGGCCAAAAGTTTAGCCTGTCAAGGTCTGCGCCCTGTCACACGCAGATTGCACCACATAATTCGCTAAATTTGTTGTGTACGGCCGGTGCCCTTGGGACAGAGAGTCGGATCGCCGCACTTTTAACTTTGGTGAATCCGACGCGACAGGCCTTGGAGGCGATCAAGGGTTTAATGAATCGCTCCACTGCTACCGTTCAGCAGCCAATTAGCGCTCGTAGAATCGCATTCTAATCGCAAAGGTGGGTGCCATCCTTAATTTACTTCAAGGCAACAGATCTGAGCCATGAAAAGGGAAGGACAAAATAAGAAAATTTAAAAATGAAATTATTTATATTTTAATAAAAGTACTCGCATTTGATTAGATTTACAATTAATTAGAATTAAAAAATCCATTTGTTAAATATCCAAACTATACTTTACATTTACTTACACCGATGAAAGATTTAATAAACAGAACAATGCATTTTTGAACGAAATGTATAGCTTACAATTTTCTTGGTACTTACAAATAATGCATGTAATTAAACAAATTTATTCATTAAAACAAATTAATCTGCAGCGTATGTATTCTCAAATTCAGAATTTTTTTATAGTCTTGTGTCCAGTTTTGTTGTTGTCTCTTTAATGAATTTGTAATAATGCAATGTGCGAAGTATGCAATAAATGAGACAAACAATAATTCTAATCCTTCAAAGTCTCAAAGTAAGATTCATCGCCAGCAATTATGAATGTTAGAAACAAACAAAAATAATTATGACGTCAAAAATAAAAAAATAAAACAGATTTAAAATTTAAATTTTAAAAATAAAATTTCACTTTTCTTGAGGGTGCATAGGATATTCAAAATCGGGAATATTTGAATTTTTAGGAATAAACTCTTATGAAAAAAATTTAAATTCCCAAAATATCTTAATTTATGCGATTTATATCAATTTCCTTTTTGTATGAAAGG